GTCCGGGACATCCGGTCGCAAGCTCGATACCAGAGGAAGTTCCTCTCCCAACACCGCTCTGATGATTTCCATGGGGGTCCTCCCGCCAAACGGGGTCTCCTGGACAAGAGCACTCCACAGGAGGATGCCCAGGGAATAGATATCAGCTCGACTGTCGGGCTGAATGGGCGTCCGGCCAGTTTGCTCCGGGCTCATGTATGATATCCTGGCCGTAGCGCCGTGCTGGTTGGCAAGAGCGGACCAGGTTGCATTCGAGAGGTCGGAGTGGTAACGCCTCAGACCGGCTCCAAGATGGATCAGCTTGACCTTCCTGGTCTCTTCACTGAAGTGGAAGGCATCCGCCCTGATCTCCCCATGGACAATCTGCTGGCTATGGAGGATTTTGATGCACTCCGCGGCGCCGATGGCGAAATCTAGAAAGGTGGACAGCGGCATCGGCTCGGCTTGATTGCGCCGCACGAAAATCGCATCCTCATCATCCTCATCATCCTCGTCATCCTCGTCATCGTCCTCATCCTTGCTGTTATCATGATCCTCGTCGCTTCCATCCACCTCGGGAAACTCGCGATACCAGGTCGCGCTGCAGTCCACGTATTTCAACAAGTCATTCGGACCGGGGCTCTCGTAGATGCAGACCACCAGCGGTGGCTCGCGCTCTTGATCGCGGCTGGGTAATCGCTTCACCTCCAGAGGCCGCAGGAGGCAGTCGTAGTAGGGGTCGGCCACAGCGGCCAGCCTCCGGTACTCCTCCTGGGCTTTTTCTTCCTGACCCGGATTTTCAGAAATACGCGCCACCACTTCCATCGCACTCTCCCGACCTTGGTCCGCCGCTATACGACCGTCATCGGGCGCGACACCATTTGCGCCATCGCAGTGTTGTTTGAGAGGTGACACGCTTCGAGGACGGACGGGTAGAACATGACGCGACCTCGTGGTGTCAACGAGGTGTTTTGTGCCGAAAGTGTGCCTACGCAGGATTAGCACGTGAACTGGTTTTTTTGCTTACAACAATCGAGGTAGCTAACGCACCATACACCATAGCTGGAGCGAAATTGTCTCGACTCGTCCCAGGTATAGCCAGGTAGTCGTTGTAGCCTGTCCAGCAGACCGATCGGAGGCTCTTGAGCCTCTCGGTGCATCACTGCGACGACTGCGTGGGGAGCGGGTGGCGGGGGGGTTGACGGAGAATTAAGAGATAAAGGGATTTTAAGTGGGTGGATTAATTGCCGAACTCATCATCACCTGCGTTGCTGGTCACGTTGACTGGAAGATCAGACGCATATTTCCTCTAACGCAACCACTGATAATTAGAGTAACGGAGGAAAGAAGAATGACCAGGTGAGCAGCTACTGAGCAATCCAGCAAACTGCAATGATGGTCAGGTATGTCGATGGTGCGATGGAGGAAAACAAGGCAAAAAGAATGAGGCCGCAAAAAACATGGAAGATGGCAGCAGCAGTTCACCGTGGCCGATGGCCCGAAGGTCTGGACGATGGAAACGGCGTCAAGCCCAAGTGGAGCTCGGGAAGTTAAAGCCATCTGACAAAAACCGGTTTTGGCTGCTCCCTTCCATGTATGGAGTATCAACAGCTATGCAGCCACGGCTCTGGTTTTACAAAATTGTCAATTGCAGAATGCATTATTGTCTTCTTCTTGACTAAATCATCTAGTAGATGAACATGAGTAAATATAATGCCTAATGCTCTATCTGATTGTCTCCAGGTTCAAGGGCCCCCGCAAAGTAAATCGGACAAGCCCGATTTATGACGTCAATCTTCAAGCTTTTATCGCGCTAACCCGTTCCTGGCACAAGCATGGAGACGCGGAGTGTCCCATGGATTCTATTGGCTGCAATAGATGTCTGGACAACAGGACAGGCACGAGCATTGGATCAATCCAATAATGACGACGTCCCTGGTTAGCTCTGGCAAGGTCCAGAACCCTCTCCCCTCCCGCTCCCTCTTACTCTTACTCTCTCTGGCTCTATCTACTCCCTCCCAATCTCCCTCCCAATCTCCCTCCCAATCTCCCTCCCTCCTCTACTATTTGACTATCTGACTAACTCCTGACCTTCTTATGTCATGTCTCCAAACTTGGTCTTTTCAAATATCGACTTAACCCGGTCCCTAGCTATTATTGAATAACCAGTCCTTGATCTTGGCCCTTTTTTACTTTTCTAATCACAGTGACTCTACCCCGGGCTTTGAAAAGAGTCAATTCCCGCTTACAATGCCTGAGGAAGTGGAATACAAGCCGTAAGATACCCACGCTTCCATGTTTTCTTCTGATGATCCGTGCTTGTTTCTGTCGTCTTATATGTTTTCAGGTCTTCCTTTTTTTTTTTTTTTTTTTTTTTTTCCCCTGCCCTTTTTTCCCCTCTCTTTCCATTCCGGGCCCTGTTTGTTACTGTTTGGTCATCATTGGGCTTTGATAAGATGACGATGCGCAATTGCCAGTCCCTTTGTCAATTCCACCTGACTATGCGTCCATCTACAGACTCCGCCTGGGATCCAAAGCCCCCAACTTCCAAGCCGACACCACCATCGGTCCTATCGACTTCTATGAGTGGATAGGCAACGACTGGGTCATCCTCTTCTCCCACCCGGAAGACTACACCCCCGTCTGCACCACCGAACTGGCCGACCTGGCCAAACACCAGTCGGAGTTCGCCAAGCGCGGCGTCAAGCTGATCGGCCTGTCAGCCAATTCGATCGAGTCGCACGATGGCTGGATCAACGACATCACCGAGCTCGCCGGCTGTTCCTTGACGTTCCCTGTCATTGGGGACGAGGATCGCAAGATCGCCCGTACTTATGATATGTGAGTGTGGATTCTCTTTCTCTCTCGTCTGCGGTAGTTGGGCCCGTTCACTAACAAAGTCTGACCAAGGACAGGCTCGACCACCAAGACACCACCAACGTCGACGCTCGCGGCATCGCCTACACGATCCGCTCCGTTTTCATCATCGACCCCAACAAGGTCATCCGCCTCATCCAGGCCTATCCGGCCTCCACAGGTCGGAGCACCACTGAGCTGCTCCGTGTCGTGGATTCCCTGCTTGCGACCGACAAGTACTCCGTCAACACTCCCGCCAACTGGGAGCCCGGTGATGATGTAGTCGTCCCCGCGAGTGTCGCCGACGAGGAGGCGCGGGTCAAGTTTCCAGACATGCAAACTGTGAAGCCGTATCTGCGGTTCACACCGTTGGCTAAGGACCATATTCTTCCGCATTAAAGTATTATTCTTCCACTGTAGGTGTGATGTCTGATGCCACTTTTCTCCGATAACTTGGACAGATAAGAAGTGAATTTTACTGCGTGGGACAGATGCGCCAGGCTTCATCTGTAACAAATGTCATTCATAGGCGTAATAGTGTGGTTCCATTTCTGTCTGTGTTTCAAAGCTATAACTAGCCTCCCTGTCAACCCTCACTCACTCAATCTATCCGGAAGCGCCTCTTCGTGGGTTTCTTCAAGGCTTCATCCATAGCACGATCGAGGGCTTTAAAAAGGACTCTACCATCGATTATCTGTCTTTAGTCTGGATTTATTGCATTTGATGGAGCTGTTGCATAGTATTCCTGATGTTGCTGGTTTGGGTTGATTTGAGTTGATTGACACTATATCTGATCAGCCACGTGGATTATGGCTTGATCCCCAAGATTGCGGAGAGTGGTACCCACAGTACCTAATCAGGTGACCACCAGTATCCTCATTATGGTTCTAGTATGATAGCCACGCTCTAGTGATCTCGTATATTTTATTCAATGATGTGATAATTAGTTATATCAATACTATTGCCTATTAAATAAGCTAAAATCAGCTTAATAAGGGTCCTAGTGTGGACGACCAGACTTGAGATGAGAAATGTGTGAAGATTTATATAGCTATCACCGAGGGCAGTGGCACCCTAGTAATCTAAAATCGAGTACGACGCGAATATTTCATAATTATTTGAAGCTTTAGTAATGAGGCAGTTTTCTTTCAAAATACTCGCTGTAGCGGCCTTCCAAACAAGCCGAAATGCCCACTGGAGTCAACGCGGTTAATCGGTTCTCCCCAAACTGTAGGCGTACGGTTTTATCTCGGCGGAGGTGAAAAGGTTCCACGGGTCAGGCTTGTGAAAGCGCATGAGGACCGGGTTGTAGGCGCGATACACGTCGTCTAGGTAGTACCAGCCAGTGACTGGATCGCGCGATTGCCCATTAAGCCTATAGATGATCAGGTAGCGCCGAAACCATATGGTGTATACTGCTGGCAGTTGACATTACTGGCTGGTTGGTATCCAGCCAAGCAAGTACAGACTGGTGGCGATCCGAAACAAAGACCTCGGTTGATGTGATTGCACCTTCCTTGACAAGCAGTCCCCAATACCTTCATCATCCGCTAGGTAGCTTATTTGACGGTCTCCCCTTTGACGCCTTCTTAATTGCCTTGCCGGCCCCCAATAACCAAACCTGTCAGTCATTCTTGGTCAGTTGAGGAAATCTTGATCAACCTGTAGCATTACCCACAGAGCTGGTCTCCCATGCAATGGTCAAGCTCAGTGTGTAGACTATAAGGTTATATCCATTGCTACACAAGAGAAAGGGGAAAGAGTTTGAGAACGGCAGGGGTTGAGTAGTTATTCACACAGTAATCACATACCATTTCAGGAGATAAAGCCAATCAATAATCTTAGAGATAGATCCAATTGGGTCCAGACGTAACCAAACGACTTCACGCACGACTCAAAGACGCTTTGCTAATATATATCTAGCGGAGAATCCGTGCAGTCCGGATATCATGAATATGCTTCGATAATATCCTCATACATCTGTCTGTTCTGAAGGTACGGCATAAGATCTTTCTTATCCAAGCATAGATAGACAATTAGTGATCCCCCTTTCCAGGTACTCCTGTAATGTAATCCTATGGTCATCCATGCCGCTAACGATTTTACTGCCCATGAGACTTGAGTTGCCACCACTGCTAGGCCGAAATAGACTTAAAGTACCTAGTTCAAGCATTCCAGTCTCGCTCTGCAATTTCCACTACCCTATGAGTATCACTCAATTCCACAGTCCCCGTATTCCCTACCAGCTCGGCACGATGTTGAGGACGGCTCTGCATCGCAGTAGTTGGGGGATTATTCGCCGCAATTTGTAATCTTTCTGCGTTGCTGGGGTCGTTAAGTGGGTTCTGTTGATCCAGAACAGTCGCAGGTTCATAATCAGCTATTGCTGTTGTTTCCATAGAGCGCCTCGGATATCGCTGACCAAGGAAAAATGTTGCGAGAGCTAGAGTCACGGCTCCAGCTATCGTGCCAATGACTACACCCGTGACCTGGCTACCAGATAGCGAGGACCCTGTGGCATTCCTGACTGGAAAGGTGCCGTCTGTAGCGGAGGGTATAACAGTTACAGTAGAAACCGAAGTAGCGGCAGACGATGAGACTGATTTTGCTTCGATCTTAAAGGACAATAAATCCACGGCTGCTGGGGCGTTCCAGTCCAGTCCGTTGCATTCGTAACCCCTACCATTGGTGCAATTTGCTTCTGTGAAAAAATAGATGCACCAGGGGCCATTTTGGGCATCCCAGTTGAATTCTTTGCCCTTGGTTTGGTTGATTTGTTTGCAGGGTAGAGGCTGCGTGTCATGTTCAGTGGTCGGGTAGTCGGATGCGTTTCGCCATATCAATGCCCAGGCGTTCACCACGGGTAGGAAAGCGATGATGGTGAGGAACAGTTCCATGGTGTGGTTCTGGTTGAAGATACGCAATCTCAGTACTGACCTCCCTCAACCCCGTCATGGAAAAAGGGGGGTTGTCAACCTACCGTCAAAAGAGCGTTGTGGTCAATAGCGATGTGACAATTCTCCCAAGAATTGGTACCCCTAATTTTAAGGTTAGTCTAGATGTATTAATATTTACTTGACCAGGGCGCAGTAGCGCTGAAAGGCTTAATGTTTGCATGTTATCAATATTACTCCTGAGCTACACAAATAAGCAAATAAGCGCTAACTAGTTGCCTGAAACAGAGCCCCACCCAGCAAAGTGAATTTACTAGATTCTGCACCCTCCACTTAGCTCTCAGAATATTGTTTATTTCATCATTATCAGGATGGATGTCAATGTTCATTCAAATATGTGCACTTCAATACATACAGAGCAGTAGAAATTTATAGCCAAATATTACCATAAATTTTCTGCTTTTGACTCTAGTAATTATATCCATGTTAATTTATAGCCTTCTCCTTAAGTGGGTTTAAACCCTGTAGCAAAGCTATCAGACTCAGCACTGGTGGTACACATATCAAGGTAAGGCTACCCATATTTTTACGCAAGCAAACAAGGTGTGTTGCTACAGAATGAGTATGACATTGAGTTCCTTGCTATATACAAGATGCATGTTTCAGATCATCTGGGTGCCTACTCCACAGTGCTGTCTGCCTTTTAAGGCTTTGCATAACCCACATTTAACCCCAAGAAATGGAAAAAGAAAGCGTCATTGATCATTTCTACCACTGTTCTGTACAGGTCTGTAAAACGTTGTCACGAGACATAGCAATAGTTCTGACGTGCGGGATATAATGCTCCATAGTCAGAGCTTGAAGAAAAACGCAACTGACAGACTTTAGGCAGTCCAGAGAGGTCGAGCTGAAGAAGGACAACCATTCACGTAAAGTACAAGAATCCATCAGTAGTACTAAAGGTAGAAAGGAAGCATCACTTGCTCGGGGGCAGTGCTCCGTCAAATCGTCGAAAGCTTGATCACTCGTTCAGCCTTGGCGGCGAAGCGCAGCTTCATACCCATGGAAGCTCCCTAGTACGAGGCTGCGACGAAAGGCCATGGCCCTACAAGTTCGTATTCTTGCGGCTGTGGGCCAAAGCTGGATTGGCTTGCATTCCGGCCTTCGAAATTTCTTTTGGATCTTTGACAGGTCACAAAATATGCGTGGGGTGAGGAGAAGGATCCTGAAGTGTTTCTGGTCCCTACAGGTGATTCCGAAATCACTTTTACTTATGGATGTTAATAGAGTAGCTACATGCTTGGCCTAGCCAAGGAGGAATGGAGCATATCGACCACAGTAGGTTCCTAACACCCATCACGAGTGTCATTCACAGTCAAAAATAAATAGAGAGAATCAGGTAATGATTTATGTAAAAGAGCGACTTGGTCGAATTTGAAAGGCAACTCACAGGCTGAAAGGAGCCAGTTACTGAGCTTGAGATCTACCGATCGCTCAAGGTCGCTAAAGGATCAACCGACCCCGGTGACGATGGAAACCCAGCCCTAGAGTGGAAACACCTCTGGACATACCTTCGAACGGCCATCACCTACATCTTCACCAGATCAGTTGAACTGGGCTATCACCCCAGCCAATGGAAACGGGCACGGATTGTCGTCCTTCAGCCGCAGCACCTTGAATAGATCGGCCTGTTAGCATCATCCCCGTCATTGATAATCGATCCAATTGCCAATATAAGAATGGCCAGGAGTAAAATGGCTTTACGTCCCCAGATATCCGATAGTTTCCCCCAGATGGGTGTCGATGCGGCGCTAGCAAGTTGGTACGCGGAGCCGATCCAGACATAGCTCCGTCCAGAGTGGAAGGAAGACACAATTGTTGGGATTGAAGTGGTGGCAATGGTGAAGTCTAGTGCAGCGAGGAAGAGACAAAGCTGGATTCTAGTTTTCAGTACCAGAATTGAGATTTTCTGTCATGCATGACGAACAAGGACTGAGAACAGGGCACCACTCAGCCGGATCATATTTCGAGAACTGCCACCAGGTGGGTTGCTTATAGCTTGGCTAATGGGAATAAATGGGAAAATTTCTGGCTGTGGCTTTGTAGTAGATGTGTTTGGGCAATAACGAACACAGTTGTGGATGACTGTATTTGATAATGGTGGAATGGAGGAGAGGGGTATTTGGTCTGTGTTAGTTCCTAGGATGTTGGAAGTGGCTGCCTTGGATGATGACATTTCTGGATTCAGTTAGCCCAGAGACACAGACGTCTAAGGCACTATGAACATAGATGTTGATTCATGTCCTGGAAAAGAGAGATAAAGGAGAGGTGTGACTGATTATTTGGGTGTGCTGAACAAAACTGGAGGTGTGCTTGATAGACATCTCAGCCGGAAATACACACATCATCAGCTGGAGAATAATAAGCGCTCTCAACATTGAATCAATTGGACGACAGTGGTGGATATGCAAGACACGTTCAGATCTGAACAGAGATACAATGAATTTAAAGTAAGAGGTTGGTTTTCAACATCTGTTATGTGATCAGAATCCAGAAACATGCATGATCTAGTGTATGGAAATGTATTGATATAAACAAGGTGGCAACCGTATACCACTATGACAATGGGTATGCAAGCCTAGACTAAGGATGGCTGATAAATGACAACAGCCCGTCCTTGTCATCTTGACTAACCATGGGCCCGGATGCTAATGGACTATAGTTGATCGTGATCGCTTGCCTCTCCTTTCTCCATCTTCTGAGTCGGACAACAGCCCAAACTGCTATACAGGATGCTACAATTGCAGCCCCCAACAGCCACGCAGACACCTGGCTGACTAGCCAGCCAATGACCTGCTGGAGGAAAGTGTTCTGCAGCTCACTCTTTTCCTCCACACGGAATCCATGGGAGCCCAGGGCATACTCATCCGGCACTTCGGGCCACTTGTCCACTCCGTCCAGAATGGCCATGGCCATGCCGTTGTCGAGATGCATCTCAAAGTGACAGTGCAGCAACCACGCTCCCGGACAAGTCACCTGGTACCGCAGGACCACCCACATCGTTCCTGTAAATTCTGTCAGGAAGGTATCCCGGTAGGGTGGGTTGACCAGATTGAAGTTCTCTGGGTGATCAGCGACTGCCTCGGCGACGGAGGAGTAGTTCCAGAGTCCCTGACCAGAACCCAGTCGCCAGAACTTATTGGCGTGCTTGTGCACGACGTGCGGGAAGTCAACCGGCCAGAGCGGCGAGTGACCCACCTGGAGGACGATATCCTGCCAGGTCCCATTTTGAGTGCGGATGATCAGATCGTCATCGCGGGCCTCCGGAGAGTTGACATTGTATAGCAGAGGTTGGTACGCCGACCGGTCCGAGGGGTACTTCTTCTTGCCACTCAGAGTGAATTCCCAGGTCGAGTTGGCTTTGCCAAGGTACAGGACGTGCATTGCGTCGCCATCGCCGGTGAAGGGAACCTTTGGCGGCCAGGGCGGCAGGTCGAGTTTGTCCAGAAAGACGATCCCGTCACGTGTGGGCCAGGCGTTGTAGCCGAAATAGGGCTGCGAGATTGTCGTGACGCCGAACCGATCAGGAGGCCGGCGAGCGTCCGGGTCCCCGTTCTTGTACCGTAAAATCCCAAAAGCTGTGATCATCTGCGAGTAGCCACCGTCAGGCACGCGGATGGAGTAGTCCATTGGTTTCTTGTCGAGCCGGACCAGAGCCGAGTATCGCTCCCCGGCCCAAATTAGGAACGTATCTGCACGGCGTGGTTCGATGTAATGGCCATCAACCTCGTAGATCCACATCTCGTGCTCGTCTATCGTGGGCTGCAGGGTTTTGAACGTCGAGCCTCCAATCCAGTTGATACTGACCCATCGATCGCGGGCATCGACCTCGATGATTTCGGTAGGACCGGTGTAGGGAACGCAGCCCTCTTGTAACCCTGGAGGAATGGCAGAGACGTTGCCGTCCTTGAGCCACGGGCCTTCAGTGGAAGGAACGAATGGAAAACAGCTGTGATTGTCAATATTGCTCTTCTCGATCTGGAAGAGACGAAGCATGGACATACCCTTTGTCAGTGATGGTATCATTTGGCCAGCTTCTGAGCATAAACGGAATTTGCTTGTCAATGAGCCACTGATGGCCCGGGCAATAAACGCTCCCCTTTCCGTTGATCAAAATACTATCGACACAGCTGGAACGGTCAGCGTGTGGACTAAAGGAAAGGGATCCTGTTCGTACAATATCTGGAGATGGCTGTTTGCGTCAGCCTCTTTGTATTGGGATGAGTTGTAGTAATCCCAGTCTGAGAGCATGATAATCCGGGGATCATTGGCAGCGCGTTCCATGGCTTGGATCTCCACTGGATCTTCGCTGATCATTGCCCACGGTCCTGGAGTTCCTGGCTTCCGTCTTGAGTGCGTTAGTATTGATTATCGCAGAACAATAAGCACATGCAGATTACCTAATAAAGAGCGCCCCGTAGAGACCATCCAACAACGTGGCTCGCGAATGCGAATGGTACCTGAATCGATCAGTCTGAAGTTTGCGTTTGGGAAAGCACTTAGTACAGACCAGTATTGACCGGGAGGATATGCAGTGAAGCGATAGATATAGCTCTCGCCGGGCTCAATAGGCGCTTGGCTCAGACCGGGAACGCCATCGGACCACGGGGTATCTTGCATCCTGTCCAGTCATCATCAGAGCTCATGAAGCATTGTAGAATATGCGAGGATAAGGCTTACAGGATTCCATGCCAATGGATTGTGGTGTTCTGGTGCATATGATTGTGGACGACGATCTGGAGAACTATAAGCCTTCATATTCCCTTAGTATTTTGAAGCGATAAAGACCCTACCTCCACATCGTCGCCCTCGTCGAAAATCAAAGTAGGCGACGGAAACTGGCCATTTGTCCTGATCATATGGCGACTTTGGCCATTTGGGGCACCTTCTTCCCAGGTCAGAGTCAGTTCGCGTTTGGCATGCGCCGCAAATGCAGTGAGCACATGGCTCAATAACAGGAACAGTATTGTAAAACGACGCTCCATGCCGAATAGTAGAAATATCAAAAAGAAAGAAAGAGTTGAGGAGCAAGATCGGATGTGGTCAGCACCACAAGAAGCACAGTGGGAGATGCAGTCATTAACTGCTCGGGCTCGCGTCTGCAGGAGATGAACCAGGAACATTCACTCGTCAATATACTTAAACTTATTTGATTGTAAGATTATCTGGATACTCTCAATGTGATTGGATTGGAATGGACCTCTTACATTGTATCTTCGGGGACCGAAGCGCCCTTCGGGATGTCGTAGCCGAGGGACAATCACTCCTAACGCTGCGGCAGGTTTCAGTTTGTGCATTTAATAATAGACTCAGCTAGGTCCTGTAAACCAAAATACAGCTAGAGTGATACGATTGAGCCCTCAACCATGACGAAAACACCACACGCCCCTGCCCTCGAGGTCTTTGCTGACCAGATCAGTGCTGCGGCCAAAGTCATCACAGCCTTCTGTGCCTCCACAGGCCATCCACATCCTTCCTTTGATGATACACGACTCAATGGCCTCGATACACTACCCTTATCTGCACCTGCCGAGGTTCAAGAGGCTCGACAGGTCATTCTCGAGAGTGCCTATCGACTCCAACAGCTCATCATCGAGCCCAACCAATACCTGGCACGATTAGCAGTCTACGTGGGTGTACAGACAATGTCGAACAACAAATGGATGCTGAAAGTAGATAGCCTCAACATCTTGCCGCCATCCAATGGCTCTGCCACTTCAAAATCCCCTCTCTCGTCCCGCATGAGGGCACCATCTCGTACACCGATCTCGCGGCCGCGGCCCACGTACCACTTCACCAGCTCAAGAGCATCACCCGCATGGCTATCACGGGGAATTTCCTTCAGGAGCCGGTCTTGAACCAGGTTGCGCACAACAAGACATCCGCGCGTTTCGTATCAAACCCGTCCCTGTGCGACTGGGCGCTGTTCCTGGCTGAGGACTCGGCACCGATGGCGCCCAAGCTGGTCGAAGCGACGCAACGATGGGGCGAGACAACCAAGAAGACAGAGACTGCATTTAATCTGTCCCTCAATACGGACCGGCCCTTTTTCGACTATCTCTCCAGCTCTCCCGAGTTTACCCAGCGGTTTTCTGGGTACATGAAGAACGTGGCCAAGGGCGAGGCTACAAACGTCAAGCACTTGGTCCAGGGATACGACTGGGCAAGTCTGGGTAAAGCCACTGTGGTAGATGTACGCTAATATTTCATATCCTCCTAAAGTTTTCCATTTTTCTGACTTGTTGCCCAATAGGTCGGTGGCTCCAGCGGCCACGCCAGCATTGCTCTCGCCGAAACCTACTCGCAGCTGAGATTCATCGTCCAAGACCTTCCTATGGTCATTGAAACTTCCCAGTCCCAGGTCCCTGACGCCATGCGCTCGCGAATTACGTTCCAGAGCCACGATTTCTTCACCCCGCAGCCCGTGCGCGACGCAGATGTGTACCTGCTCCGCATGATCCTGCACGACTGGCCGCGCGAAGAGGCCCAAAAAATTCTGTCTCACCTGGCTGCTGCCCTTCGGCCTGGTGCTCGCATTCTTGTGATGGACACCGTTCTTCCCAATCCCGGTACTGTACCGATTAGCGAGGAGGCGCTGCTGCGTGTGCGGGATATGACGATGATGCAGACGTTCAACAGCCATGAGCGGGGGATGGACGAGTGGGAAGAATTGGTCCATGCGGCAGATTCGACCTTGAACGTGAGCCGCGCTATCCAGCCTGTGGGTAGTGCGATGACGATCTTGGAGGTTTGCCGGGACCAGTAGCGATAGCCTCGGGTTGAGCAGCTTCGGTCCCCGAAGGACGCACTAATGCACATGTTACTTAACCAAAGAACTCTGTCTGAATCATATCCAGAAACTCCCTTGGGCGCAGTATTGAACATAAAATCAATGCCAGAATGCTGTCCGTCAAGCAAATAATCCTAGGTATCGCCTCTATCTACCCCTTTACCGGGTATGACACTCTATCCCCTGTAACGGTACTCGACCCCGCCTCCAACATCACCTACAACGGTATCCGCACCAGCACGTATGTCGAAGAATTCCTCAACATTCAGTATGCCCACGACACGAGCGGAAACCATCGCTTTTCGCCCCCAAGACCCTATACACCCACCGCGAACAGCATCATCAACGCCACCTTCCCGGGAGCCGCATGTCCCCAGCCGCATATCCCCCTCCCCGCGGACCCATACACAGTCCTCCCCAATGTCTCAGAAGACTGTTTGACTCTCCGCATTGCACGGCCAGCAGGCACAGGCGCGACGCAAAATGCGCAAAAGCTCCCCGTGATGGTCTTTATCTACGGCGGCGGCAGTACCGTGGGAACAATCTACGACGGCTCCTACGACCCAGTCGGACTCATCAGACGAGCCGTTGATCTTGGGACGCCGATGGTGTATGTAGCTATGAATTATCGACTGAATTGTACATCATTGCCACATTATCCGTGCGATCTGCAACTACTGACTGTCGCTAGTGTTCGGCTTCGCGGATTCCCCAGCTTTACGCGCGTCCAACTCGACCAACATTGGTCTGCGGGATCAGCGCCTCGCGCTTGACTGGGTCAGGAGAAACATTGCGTGGTTTGGCGGGGATCCAGACAATGTGACGCTGTTTGGGGAGGACGCGGGTGCGGTGTTTGCGAGCCTGCATCTGCTGGCATCTTCGGACGACGAGAGTCTGCCTGTTCGTCGGGTCATTGCCCAGAGTGGTGCAGGTACCTCGCTTCCTGGTGTGGCCGGACATACCAGCGCCAGTAATTCTCTGGATGTTGCAAGGAAGATCGGCTGTCTTGATTCATCTGGGACTTCTTGGGAAGAAGTGAATGCCACCGCGGTGATAGAGTGCCTGCGAGAACAACCCTTGGAGCTGCTGGTGAACAAGACGTTCGAGGTGGCATACAAAGTGAGCCCGGGAGATGGTTTCGGGGCCTTGTGAGTCACTCGAACCTACAGAAAGAAATAGTGAGTTAGACTAACCAGCGCTACAGTATACCTACAGTTGACGGCACGATCCTGCCTTCAGCCCCCTCGGCGTTAATGTCAACTGGCCACCTCCTGAATAAGAGCATCCCACTCATCATCGGCTGGAATCGCGATGAGGCGTCACTCCACGTCCCAACAAGCATAAAGAGTCAATGGGACATTTCGAATCTCCTAGCCGGCAATTATCCGTCTCTCAACGAGTCGAGTATTGCAGACTTGCTCGCCCTTTACCCGGAGTCCGACTATCAAGTCCAACATGAGGAGAAGGGAGCACAAATGACCCCCGCCTGGCATGCCGCATCAGCCCTCGTTCGCGATGTCACGGTGACCTGTCCTTCACTTTACCAAGCCTCGTCGTTATTCCAGCATGCCCGCAACTCAATAGAGGAACCGGAGATCTATCTCTATGAACTGCAACGGACACCCTTCGGCGCGGCTCTCGCGCAACAGGGAAAAGCGTACCTGGGCGTCGTCCACTTCTCAGACGTTCCGTATGTCTTCAACAACCTACAGAGTAGATACTATATCTCCGACCCGGTTGAATTAGCGCTCGCAGCTGGGGTGAGTGGAAGCTGGGCTGAATTCGCGTCGGGACGGCGACCGGGGAGCAAGAGGACTTTGGGAGAGTGGGAGGCTGCCTTTTCCTCAACCGATAGGGTGCCAAGTCTAGAAACAGCGAGATACAGAGCGATTGGAGGGAAAGATGACGGGATGCGACAGGTCGGAAAGAAGCTGGCGCGGAGGTGTGAGACGATCAACCGATTGGCGGGGGAGTTGAAGACTTGACGTATCGGGGTACATAGACTGCTGTAGATGCAGCTGCCTGTAGAGTCGCGAACTTGCTGCTCTTTTTTGATTGATGCTATTGGCCCAAACGGATACCGAGAGTACCTTAGTCTCTTCGTTGTCCGAGCGGTCGATGTCATTGGCCATGTCGGGTCAACGCTCATTGGGTATGAATTGTTTTGTTTGAAGGATATCAGACGGGACCAAGTATTCCAAAACGAGGCCTTTCCGCCAGTATAGTCTGCCTAATCTCGATAGTAAGCATCACAATGGCGAGTACACAGCACGTAGATGTCGTGGTTGTTGGAGCTGGCTTCGGAGGGTTATGGATAACTCATAGGTACAACACTCCAATGGCACGAAGGACGCCAAAAGGCGCATACTGACGTGTATAGACTTCGAAATGCCGGGCTGAATGTCCTCTGCGTCGAAAAAGCCCCCCAGGCCGGTGGCGTCTGGTACTGGAACTGCTATCCGGGGGCTCGAGTCGACAGTCGATACCCCGTTTACCAGTATACCGATCCGGAGCTCTGCCAGGACTGGACCTGGAACGAGTTGTTGCCCGGATACGAGGAGCTCCGGCGGTACATCGCGTACGTGCTGGACAAGTGGCAGCTGCACAGACACATCCAGTACAACACAACAGTGACTGGGGCGCAATTCGATGAGTCCACTCACCAGTGGACGGTTGAGTGCGTCGGGACAGATGGCTCCCCCACAGAGATCCGCAGTCGCTGGTTCATCCTCGCTCTCGGCTTTGCCACCAAGCCGTATATCCCCGATATTCCAGGCCTGAACACCTTCGCTGGTCCGAGTTTCCACTCCGCCGCCTGGCCCCAGGATGGGATCGACCTGGATGGTAAGAGGGTGGCTGTTGTGGGCACGGGAGCCAGCGCAGTCCAGATCATCCAGACCATTGCCGAGAAAGTGGGCCATTTGACCGTCTACCAGCGCACCCCGTGCACTGCGGTCCCGGCCCGGCAGCGCCCCCTCAGCGCCGAGGAACAGCAGCAGCTGAAACACAGCGGCGAGTTGGCCACCCTGCTGCGACAGGCCAAGTACGAAAAGTTCGGTGGACAGGACGTTGGGTTCGTCCCGCGTCGGTGGCACGAGGATAACGAACAGCAGCGGCGGGAGGTGTTCGAGGCGGCCTGGGAAAAGGGCGGTTTCCACCCTTTGCTGTCGACATACTTTGACGTCTTTGTGGATGAGGAGGTCAATAGGGCAGCGTGGCGGTTCTGGGCCGAAAAGACCCGCGAACGGATCAAGGATCCGAGATACAAAGATTTGCTGGCCCCCCTGGAGGCGGTTCATTTGTTCGGGGGAAAGCGCACGCCGTTCGAGATCAACTATTATGAGGCATTCAACCGAGAGAACGTCGAATTGATCGACAGCAAGGCGTCCCCGATTATTGAGTTCACCGAGGACGGCATTGTCACGCGGGAGGAGGGCCTCAAACGGTTCGATGTGATTGTGCTCGCAACAGGATTCGACACCAACACAGGAGCATTGACCGCAATCTCCATCCGGGACACGGAAGGGAGAACGCTCAAGGACCGCTGGCAGGATCCAGAAACAGGAGTGAGGACCAACCTGGGTCTGTCCACCAGCAAGTTCCCAAACATGTTCTTTTTCTACGGACCTCAGGCGCCGACAGCGTTTTCCAACGGGCCAGCTTGCATTGAGCTGCAGGGGGAGTTTGTCGAGCGACTCATCCTGGACATGACAGCCAGAGGAATAACAAGAGTTGAAAACACGGTGGATGCAGAGACGGAGTGGAAGGGCTTGACGCAGCGGCTGTGGGACCGTTTTGTTTTCTCGTCGACGTCTTCGTCGTACTATACCGGGGCGAATATTCCGGGCAAGAAGCGCGAGCCGTTGAACTGGTTCGGAGGGTTCCCCAGCTACCACCAAGCGCTCACCGGCTGTAGTGAGAATGATTACCAGKGTTACAAAATGGCGTCTCTCATGGAGAAGATGGAGTCTGCCCCTGCTGCGCTGGAGGTTAAGACTCCCATTGTTGTCGAAACGCTTGTCTTGGCGACGTTGCAAGTCGAAGCTAAATAATTTCTACTGACAGTTCCATAGGAGTATAGGTTGAATGAATTCAAATACACGATCCAACCATCTAATAAGAACTTGGCTTATTGGACACATAACCCCCATCCACCAGCAGGACCAATCCATTGCAGTACGCCCCAGCCTTGGACGCCAGATACACAATCGTCCCTCCAATCTCCTGGGAGTCCCCAAACCGCTCCTCCGGCGCCATAGCCATGGGCAATCGGCCGTGAGTTGCCTTGCAGAAGCCGGCCATCATATCCGTGTCGAAGTCTACGCCAGTCAGCAAACCGCCCACTCATTATCAGATCCGACAAAAAGGAGCAGAACATACACCCCGGCGCAACTATGTTCACGCGTATTCTCCACGGCGCTAGATATGTCGCCAGATTCTTCATCATATGGGTTGTCCCCGCTTTGCTGGCCCCATAGATAAAGGCCGAGTTGTCCCGCCCGAACCCGCCGACGCTGCTGACTGTGACCACCTGGCTGCGGATATACTGGCGGCTGGTTCCGCCACTGGCAATGCCGTTGCCGTTGGTCTGCGCACCAGGGGAGCCTGTCCCACCAGCACGTACCTTATTTCCTTTGTCCAGTAACTCGAGAAAGGCAAACGTCACCATCAGCGCGGCGGTGGTGTTGGTCTCGAACACGGCCGCATAGTCCTCAAAGGACTTTTGAAACCAGTAGTCTCTCACCTTGGCGATGTCCCATTTGGGCGTGGGTCGGGTATTGTGCGGGCCCAAGTTCGGCGTTGAGATGCCTGCGTTGTTGATGAGGAGATTGATGTAGCCGTCTTGGGCGCTGATGTGGTCGACGGCGGACTGGAGCTCGGCGTGTGAGGTGATGCTGCACTGGAGCGGATGAATGTTGTTGAATTTCTATCAGGCAAGGTCAAAACGTCAGTATACTGTAACCAGTGTAGTAAGGATGTGAGGAGATTACGGCTTGTTTGGCAGCTGTTTGTAGGACTTCCAACCGTCGTCCGATTATGTAGACCTTGGCTCCGTTGGCTTCGAGAGCCTTGGCCATCATGAGTCCTAGACCTGTGCCGCCGCCAGTGACGACGGCAATGCAGCCGGTCAGGTCGAAGAGATTCGTCGAGTGGAGCGGGTTCAATGCCATGGTGGACTGGTGGACTTGCTGAGTAGAGAATGTCCTTGGTGTCTCTGCTGTCGATGGCTTCTGTCAATGAGATCTAGATATGACTCTTCCATGCTCGTGTCGAGCACAAGTGTGGCAGCAGCTATTGCAGACGCAGATCTCATGTCGAAAAGATCGGTCTTCGGGGTCCGACTGGCACTTGACGGATGACAACGCAACACGGTGAGACTCAGCCTTTGCTATCGGCAAACGAAGCATTTCTCCTATTGGTCAATTGTCAAATATTACTGTAATGGCCTTGTAGTCCTAACTCTGTATTCAGGAGCTCATCATATGCTTGTCGTGCTGGAATTGCTAAATGAACTAAACGAACTATTCTGCAAGAAGTAGTATTGTACATGGCAGGAGCATATCAATAGTGGAGATAGTTCTATCTAATGGCTGCGTGGTTTTGCTAAGAATTACTATGGACGAGAAGGGCTAAAGATTACAAAGACAATACAATCGGACTCTTCGAAAGAATGCACCTTTACTTAAGCTCCGTCAACTCAAGTGCATCCTCCGTGCTGTAGCGCTGTGCACAAAATGCGTTGTCCAGCTAGACGACAATGTAGACAGGTATGCCACGGCTAAACCTGAGTGCTAGCATCACCATTCGGCTTCATGGTTGTTGCGCCATTGGCAGCTGACGGTCCCTTCTCAGGACCCATTCCCGGTTGCCCTGGTCCAGGGGCGCCAGGGCCACCAGGTCCACTAGGTCCACCAGGGCCTCCTTTCTGAGCCTTTACGCTCTTCCACTCCATAAGAGCAGACGCCATAACACACGCGCAGGAGGCCGCCAAAGCGACGCGAAACACGTCTATTACCGCGTCGTTGTATCCGTTCAAAAATCGTGGCAGGTCCTGAGGGCTCACGCGATCTTGAATACTCGTCACTCCGCTGTCGGTCAGGTTGGCGATATCACCCAGGTTGGCAGATAGTTTGTTGCTGTATATGGCCTGGTCCACAGACAAGAACACCGAACCACCCAAGGACTGCGCGAAGAAAATCAAGGAGATACCGATCGGAGCATCTTGGCGAGGGAGAACCGCTTGAGCGGCCAACGAGGCTTGTTGCATGCCTGGATTATATGTTAGAACCGCTCACACTAACGCATAAGAATAGAAGACATACTCATGCCGCATCCAACCGCCCAGAGGATCTGGTAGCCGATCCATTTGCCTTCGCTAATGTGCGGGGTGAATGTTGTGAGCAGACCAGCCCCAATAGACATGAGCACTGATCCGCCAATCATGAATGGCGTGTAGTAGCCGAGTCGATTGATCAGGAAACCAGCTATGAGACTGGCGACCGCAGATGAGATGACGGTGGGTAACATCATGACACCTGAGTGGACAGGAGACGCGGACTTGATAGCCTGAAACCAAATTGGCAGGTAGTAGGTGAAGGTCATCATGGCAGCAGTGACCATGAGAGTGAAGGCAACTCCAGCTGCGATGCTGCGCTGTTTGATGACCCGGGGAGGAATGGTGGCTTTCTCCTGAAGCCAGATCTGAATCCCAACAAAGGCCATCAGCAACACTCCTGCCAGAACTAACAGAGCGATAATGCGTCCATTATTCCAGGCATAGGTTGCACCTCCCCATTGCAAAGCCAGTAGCAGGCACACCACTCCTGGGATCAGGCATAGGTTTCCCAGTGGATCCATCTGCAGAAACTGCTCGCGTATCGGGGTGCCTGCTTTGCGCGCAGGAGGCATCTGGAGCACCAGCACGAGTACCACCATAGTCACTGCACCAATGGGCAGGTTGATGTAGAAGCACCAGCGCCAGGTAACGTGTTCGGTGAAGCCACCGCCAATCAGTGGACCTGTGACGGATGCGATGGCGAAGATGACGCTGACAATGCCGGAGTAGATGGGTCGCATGTGCAATGGGACGGTGAAGAAGGTGATGATCACACTGCCACCAAAGATCCCCGACGATCCCAGGCCAGCGATTGCGCGCCCAACGATGAGTACTGTCGAATTGGGCGCGGCACCGCAGATCGCAGACCCGATTTCGAAGATGACCACGGCGGTCAAAAACACCCATTTGGGATTGTAGAACGAGTAGATCTTGCCAAACAGCAGCTGAAACGCGCAAAAGGTCAAGAGATATGCGCTACCGTACCAACCGACATCGTCGATAGAGTTGAACTCATTCGTGATATGGGGAATGGCGTTCACGATGATGGTCCGATCCTATCGCGCGACAGTCAGCAATCAAGGAAGTTCGACTGAGGAGATGCTGACCTACCAGTGCGGTGAGAAAGCCAGCAAGATAAAGGGAGATGATGATCGAGTAGAGCTTGGGACCTTGGGGATACTCAACCGCAGGGCCCATCCCAGGTCCAAAGGGTTTTCCACCACCGGGGCCACTGGGGCCAACTGGACCACCTAGAGGACCTGGAGGAGCTGGATTGGCTTCAGATTTGGATTCGACAACACCTTGCGATTTTTCTGACGGATGCGCTGATGATGGTGGCTGCTTCTCCTGTCGCGTGTCCAGGGGCTGCTCTTCCACGGCTGCTGCCGTTGAGTCGGGAGTTTCTTGGGCCATTATTGATAAAACATAAATCACAAAATAAAAGGAAAACGGGTGGTCAAGAATATTAAGTGATTACAAGAAGAAAGAATAATGGGAAGCAAAGAAGAACTGACAAAGCGACAGAAAAACACAGCCAGGGCCTTGATCCCTTCCATAGGGGTTCGTTCTTGGCTGTCGAGGATTGATTCACAAAGGACAGGAAAATACATAGTCCGGAAATGCGCTGTTTGTCTGGGGTAGAGGGAGGTCGGCCTTAGGACCGAGTCGGGCATCATCCCAGGATGGCCGGACAGGGATCTCTACCTGATTTAAAATTCATATGTGAATCCCCGTGGCTTTCCTGGGCTCTGATTTGTTGTTAGTGGCTCAACCACGCCAGCTCCCTTTGTGCGGACGGGGGTAGATCGTTGGTGGTTCAGCCAAGGGAGAGAGAGGGGCACGACAAGACCCGACAAGCATTACGGGCAACCCCCTTGGGAAATGATTTCCCATCCAATCTTAGTCGATATTCGGAGTCCGAAGCAGCCAGATTAGCGGCGCTAGGCAGCATTTACTCCTTTGGTGCTAAAGTTTAGCAGTTTAGCAAGTGACGAATCGCTTAGCTCCCAGGCGGTCTACCCTCTGCAAGGCGCGAAGCTTCGCCATCAGCGGCTAGACTATGTCCAATGTGGAGAATGGGGCCGAATCTGAGGGACTAGGCTCAAAACCCCGAGGTGACAGTCTCGGACTCTAACTAACTTCCGGTCTTGTGTTGTTGTGACTATGCTAATTTAGTATGAACTCCACGAGGGAATCGTTTAGTTGCAGGGGCGGTTTAGGAATGTCTGAGGAATGTGGCATTAGATACATCTTCAATTACGTTATTAACCAATTGGTGGGATAATGGGCGACTGAAAGTCAGCCGCAGAGTTACTTTAAATAACACGGATCGGCATACCCATAACCCTATTTAGATTTCCTAAACCCATTAATCAACAGAATGCTTGGTGCATGAACACATCATCCTACATGAGGGAATATTTGTCACTCTGAAGTAGTAGCCACATCGTGTGATAGTGCGCTGCATCATATGCCAGAGGACAGTCACTGAAGCACAGCAGTGATTCATGTGAGCACTGGCCCATTACTTGTCTGAATGTACCTCATGCGCCACAAGTTGCAGCTTGTTACAGGCCTAGATGTAACACTGTAGGTTTTAGATAAGCACTAGGCCCTCAAACTTTGCTATAAGTGGTCCGCCATGCAAGGGGGCAGGATCCAACCAATAACACCTGAATCACGACATCAACAGACGTGTTATGGGCTGCACTCCCTCTCTAGTGATTATTCGTGATTCCTAGCAGCCACGTTCCAGACCACATGCGTAATAGCCTTGCAGAGAATATGATGGCTGACTCTCCATAGGCTATTGATCCTCGAAATGCGTCGATATGCCACCCCTTGGTTAGGTTATCAGATGGCCCAAATCACTAGGCAACCTGGGTGCATCAGGCTAAATCCTTCAGCGCCGCGCTAAATGAAGCCACCCCTGTAGATAAGCCTCGTACAAAAGCGAAATGGGGCCATAATTGTACTGATCAGTTTATAATTGACGGCGCGCCTGCACAGCTAAAGGAGACCACTCTGATCACAGCGGGGAATGTCAGTAAGCAGAGACCCCACGAAAAGAAGTATAGTAACCGGCAGATGAACAGCGTCTGCACCCCCAATGGCAGAGTCTACCGGTTCTACACCCCAGAAAGACCAGCCGCAGGTCAAGTTACGGTCGGCCTGCGACCGCTGCTCATCCAACAAAGTGAAGTGTAGTCAGGAAAGGCCAGAGTGTCAGCGATGTCGTTCGCTCAATCTACCCTGCCACTACAGTCGGTCATTGCGGATGGGGAAGCCGCCTCGATCTCGGCAGCGATCCAGTAGATCTTGCTGCCATCATGACCATGGCGAGAATTCGGCAAGTCTCGAACAGTTTAAGCCGGCTGCTGCGGCTGCTGCTGCCACAACAGACGCAGCGGCCATTCCAAAGTCCATGCTCGGCGATCCATTGTCCTCGCGAGACAACGAGGTGATGGGCACATTGGTGCATAGCTGGCCGGACGAGTTCGACTATGGGTCGATTCTGAATGATGTCGATCCGTCCCTCCAGCCACTCTCCCCAGACCTTTCCGACATACTGGGGAACTCGACGGCCATATCTCCAGGTCTCAGTCAGCCGCGGTTATCTGACTGCCCCGGCGCCCTGTCGGATATGGCAAAGCAGCAAGCCCAGTCGATGTCCAAGATGCTGCAATCCACACTACACAATGCCATGTACGAAAGGCTAACGCCAGTCAGCCTCGCTGGGTTCACCTTCCCAGCCACAGGAATGAACTCAGACAATCAACAAGCTTTTGAAACAGTGGTTTCCACGGGTCAGAGTCCGACATCCTCGTCCGATCATCAGTGTGTCCGCCGGGCCATGGAGACGCTGGACTGTCTGTATCGAGTCTGCTCCTCAGCCAACTCATCGGATTCGGGCCTCAGCAAGCCAAGCGTCGATGACATCCTACAGGTCAACGGCGAGGCGATGGAAGCCGCCGCGACCCTCCTGGCATGTCCGTGCACCAAGGACTTTTGCCTCCTCATCATTCTCGCAATAATCCCTTGCAAGGTGCTTGCCGGGTACCAGGCCGTTGTCAACATGCGCGACCCACACATTCAGGTCCCAGCAGGCGAGGCAACTATCTGTCGTCCGATTGCTGTTGGAGCCTATACGCTTGATGAAGAGGCGAGCCGCATSGTGATTATCCAGGTAGTTCTCACCAAGTTGCGGGAGTTGAGCAGGTTCGTCCAGACTTACATCGACATGTTCTGCTTCGATCCTAGCAAGAACCGCCAGGGTCACTGTGGACTGGTGTACCGGACCCTGGGGTTATTTATTCAAAGCCGGCTAGGTACCACCACGGACGGGCTGCGGGAGAGACTGTCAGCCTTGGTGGGAGACGGGAAATTTGAATTCAAATGAGAATCATGCAGGTCTTGGTGGTTTTATCCCTGATTCTTAAAGAGGTGTTTTATGCGGGTGATTGATTCTGGCGTTGGAATGAACTCGATTTTTATATTTTCCACCGTCCGAATTGGAATGTGATGATACCTAGGGAGGACATTGTGCGAGAATTATAATGAACATGATCTATCCCTCTTATGATCTATGATTAGCCCAACATATGCATCCAGTCTCCCTTGCCGAATGGAGTAGTTACTACAAAGTTTTTGACCCTCGGTGAATAGCTCATACCATCAAGCGCAATACAATAAGTATCTGCATCCTGCACAAGATTAGGTCTGTGCTAGGTCACTAGAGGTTACATACAACTATCCACTCCATTAATCTCGCTTCAGGGTGAGTCCAGAACAAAGACAGACGGTTAGGACTAGGGCATCCTTTGCCATCTCTGAACCACATGCTCTGTCTAAACAGGGAGAACTCATGCTTTGCCCAATTGGCATATCCTACAAGTCTGGCCTACCTGTCAAATGTCGTCATATGGAGGATTACGGCGAATCGGCTCAAGAGATTATCGGGGACCGTGAATCTGCTCTAATGAGTGTGCGTGGTGAATTAGGACGTTGTCTTCGGTCCCCGATCCTCGACAACAGCCATTGGCAATTCGTTCCCCGACTCGGCCCTGACGAGGAACATCAGTCGATTCGTTCCCTGGCTTCCAGGGCTACCGCGGGTTTGTGTGTATCTTTGAATCAAGTTAGTGCTGAGAGGCACACCAGATGCTGGACCAGCCCCCATTCTGCGTCCCACATGCGAAGCAAGATGATATAGTATGGCAACTTGGACTGTGCGAGAAGGAGAACACACAGAATGCCTAATAGACATAATGCACTGAAGAATCAACACCAGTATTAAATTCAGCTTATTTTCCTCGGCTACCTCTGCATGCCTGAGGGCTTCTCTCTACTTCACATTAGGTTGACCAATAATCTTGCAGGCCCGGCATGGCGCAACATCATCGAATTTACTTGTTTGGAGATCAAACATATGATGTGGATGCTCCCTTGCGGGAGCTCCTACACCATTCAGACCCAATATTGACGTCTTTTTTCGAAAGGGCCTTGCAGGTTCTGCGCCTCGAGATCGGTCAGCTACCTAGTGAGCTCCGTTATGAATTCCCTCGATTCTCCAGTATAGCCGACTTGATCTCGCGGCGAGGGGACACTCGACTTCACCCTGGTCTTGAAATGGCCCTGGTGCTAATCTATCAATTGGGGTCTTTCATTCGGTGGGTCCACTTTCACTGCACAGTCCATCAGATCCGTACTTACATCAAGCAGGATTCACTCAGAAGGGGGACTGGAGTACCCTACGGCTTCTGATACTCACCTGTTAGGCCTCTGTACTGGGGCCTTTACCGCTGCGGCAGTTAGTTGCTCACGCTCCTTGGTCGAACTGCTTCCAATCGCCGTACAAACGGTACTGGTCGCTTTCCGAACCGGTCTGTGTGCAGGCAGAATTGGAAACTGTGTTGAGCCAACTTCAACTGGCTGCCGGGAATGGTCGATACTGGTTGCTGGAATGGACAGCCAGACGGTCGAAGATGCTTTAGCACAATTCTCTGCTACGAAGGTAAGTAGTCTGATATGGACTCGGAGCCCCAGGTATTGACTGACGTGATTCGTAGTCCCTCCCTCGCATGTCTCGGCCTTATATCAGCGCATATGCTCCCAATGGGTTGACTGTCAGTGGTCCTCCGTCGATTCTGGCTGAGCTGCGCCAATCGTCCGCATTCGCGCGTGTAGCCTGCAAGTCAATTCCCATACATGCGCCCTATCATGCTCCCTTGCTTTTCACGAAGGACGACATTGACGAAATTGTGGACACCGCTATCAACGACAATTGGGCGTCCTATGTTGCCCAATTGCCAGTGATATCAAGTGCCACCGGACGCTTGATATGGGCTGGCAACCTTCGCGCTCTTTTGCAGTCTGCAATCGAAGATGTACTTCTTCAACCAATCCATTGGCTCAAGGTTCAGGATGGTATCAAGACTACGCTGCCGTCTACGTCCATGGTCAACTATGAGGTCATTCCCATTGCGACCCAGGCAGATCCTCTCTTGTCTCGGGCCTTGCAACAGCCGATAATGAACCCAATCCCTGCTCTGTCAGAGAAGCAGCAGGATCCACCGACTCCCAATAACAGGGCCAAGATTGCCATCGTCGGTATGTCTGGTCGATTCCCAGGCGCCAACAACACGGAGGCCCTTTGGGAGCTCCTCTCACAGGGGCTGGATCTATGCAAGGAGGTTCCTGCCAACCGATGGAACATCAAGACGCATGTTGATCCGACAGGCAAGCGTAAAAATACCAGCAAGATTCGCTGGGGCTGCTGGCTTGACAATCCCGAACTATTCGACGCCCGGTTCTTCAACATGTCCCCTCGGGAAGCCCCGCAAGTTGACCCGGCGCAGCGCATCGCTTTGCTCACCGCGTTTGAAGCCATCGAACAAGCTGGCATTGTTCCCGGTCGTACGCCGTCTACGCAGCAGGATCGTGTTGGTGTCTTCTTTGGCACTACAAGCAATGACTGGTGCGAGACCAACAGCGGACAAGACATTGATACCTACTACATTCCCGGAGCTAATCGCGCATTCATCCCTGGGCGAATCAACTACGTCTTCAAGTTTAGTGGACCGAGTTATAGCACCGACACTGCATGCAGCTCCAGCTTGGCAGCTATCCATCTGGCCTGTAACTCTCTGTGGCAGGGAGACATTGACACAGCCATTGCTGGTGGTACCAACTGTCTAACGAATCCTGACATGACTGCCGGATTGGACCGTGGTCACTTCCTATCCCCAACAGGTAACTGCAAGACCTTTGACGATACGGCAGACGGGTATTGTCGTGGCGAGGGCGTGGCTACGGTTGTGCTCAAACGATTGGACGATGCTCTGGCTGACCGTGACCCTATTCTGGGACTGATTCTGGGTGCATATACCAATCACTCAGCCGAAGCAGAGTCCATTACACGGCCTCATGTCGGCGCACAAAAAGCCATCTTCGAACATATACTGAACCAGTCTGGAGTGCATCCGTACGATGTTGATTACATCGAGATGCATGGCACGGGCACTCAGGCGGGCGACTCGCGCGAGATGGCTTCAGTGCTGGGGACATTTGCCCCACACTCAACGGGCCATCAGAAACGCAGGGATGAGCAGCCTCTATATCTTGGAGCAGTGAAGTCTAACATTGGACACGGCGAGTCTGTTTCGGGTGTGACTGCGCTGGCCAAGGTGCTGCTGATGATGCAGAAGAACATGATCCCTCCCCACTGCGGCGTCAAGACACGCCTGAATCGAAAGTTTCCCACAGACCTTGCCGAGCGCAATGTGCATATCCCTTTTCAGGCCCATCTGTGGCCACGGCGTCATGACCAACGAGGCCGGCGTGTCCTTATCAACAATTTTAGCGCTGCCGGCGGAAACAGCTCGATATTGGTAGAGGACGCGCCAGTGCATATTCCACTGGACTGTACCGATCCCCGTTCCTCCCATGTGGTCACTCTATCGGCCAAATGTCCCTCCTCACTCAAAGGCAACGTCGAATCCCTTTTAAGATATCTGGGAAATCTGTCAGGCAGTGACGATATGGCAGCCACTCTTTCCCAGCTTTCATATACTACGACAGCCCGACGCATCCATCATCCGCACCGCGTGGCAGTGACAGGTTCAACTATGGCCGATATCACTTCCAATTTGCAAATGATCTTGGAGGAAGGATCAGCATTTCCCCGTTCAGGGCCATGTCCTACTGCCATCTTCACCTTCACCGGTCAAGGTGCACAATACCCTGGAATGGGTGAACAATTGTTCAAGACGCTCTCACTGTTCCGGTCTGAGCTACGCCGCTTCGACCGACTCGCCCAAGGCATGGGATTCCCGTCATTTTTGCCGATCTTCCTGTCTGGGTCAGGAAGTCGGCTGGATGATTTCACTCCCACGGTTGTCCAACTCGCGAATACGTGCATGCAGATTGCACTGGCTCGCCTTTGGAGCTCATGGGGGATCAAGCCTTCCGCAGTGGTTGGCCACAGCCTCGGCGAATATGCCGCACTGAATACCGCAGGAGTGCTCTCTGATGCGGACACTATCTTCCTCGTAGGCCGTCGAGCACAACTGCTCGAGGAGAAATGCCAGAGGGGAACCCACGCAATGCTTGCGGTCCTGGCACCAACTTCCTTGATCAATCCTGTTTTGCTGGACAGCAATGTGGAGATCGCCTGTATCAATGCGCCCGAGGAAACGGTGCTCGCTGGGCCAGCCGCACAGATTGCAGCTATACGGCAGAAGCTGACGGCGCAGAATGTCAAATGTACCCTACTTCAGGTACCCTTTGCGTTTCACTCCTCGCAAGTGGATCCAATCCTAAAGGACTTTGAGCTGTCAGCCAAAGGGGTCACCTTTCGCGCACCGTCTATCCCTGTGATCAGTCCCTTATTGGGAACCGCCATTGCTGATCTGGGCACTTTCAGTCCGGAATATTTGGCACGGCATTGCCGTGAACCCGTCAACATGCTACAGGGCTTGCAGAGGGCATCTGCGGCAAACATCATCAAATCAAAGAGCATTGTGATCGAGTTTGGGCCGCATCCAGTGGTCTCCGGCATGGTCAAATCGTGCCTTGGCAGTGAAATTACTTGCTTATCCACGCTCCGCCGCAACAGAGATCCTTGGACCATCCTAGCGGACAGTATTGCTGCTCTGTACCGGGCTGGCGCGGACATCAACTGGTCCGAATACCACCGTGATTTCAATGCAGCACAGCGCGTGCTACCTTTACCGTCGTATTCCTGGGACTTGAAGCCGTACTGGATTGAATACAAGAACGATTGGGCCCTGTACAAGGGTGAAATAGTTCCCGAGGGCAATGCTGATCCTGTTAAGACCATCCAAGCCCCTCCTCCTCCTCCGCCGCCGCCGCCAACGACAACCACGCTCCATCAGCTAGTGGAGGAGAAGTCGGATTCGGAAAAATTTGTGGTCATCTACGAATCTGATGTTTCGCGTCCGGACTTGAACCCTCTCGTTCAAGGGCATAAGGTGGAAGGCTTAGGATTGTGTACACCAGTAAGTCTGCAATTGCAGGCATCTGACAGCAAGCTAATATTTGACGATCCAATAGTCAGTCTACGCGGACATTGGGTTCACACTGGGCAATTATTTCCTGGATCGATTCTCCCAGCAGCTTAAAGGAAGAGATCGTGACAAAGTGGTCGATGTCACTGACATGGTGATTGAAAAGGCCTTGATAGCAGAGAATGCTGGTCCCCAGTTGCTGCGTGTTGCTGCTGAGTTAGATTGGTCGTCCAAAGAGGCTGCTGTCAGATACTACAGTGTTGATGTAAGACTATGCCTCGTTTCATGCGTATATTCAGTGCTAACATTTATCAGCTGAATCACGTCGAGACCATACAACATGCCCGCTGCCGCATCCGCTTCAGTGACAAGTCCATCTTCAACTCTCTCGCCAAAGATGTGTCCACCGTCCGAACACACATTGGAACCATGCGCGAAAACTCCTGCAAAGGGGCCATCTTTCGTTTCAATGGACCAATGGCGTACAATATGGTCCAGGCGTTGGCGGAATTCCACCCCGACTATCGGTGTATCGATGAAACGATCCTTGACAACGAGACTTTAGAAGCTGCAAGTATGGTCAGCTTTGGAGATGTGAAGAAGGGCGGTAATTTCCACACGCATCCTGGATTCATTGATGGGTTGACACAGTCTGGTGGCTTTGTCATGAATGCCAACACCAAGACGAATTTGGGGGTGGAGGTTTTCGTGAACCACGGCTGGGATTCGYTCCAGCTATATGAGCGTGTCACGGACGATCGGCAGTATCAAACATATATCCAGATGAAACCTGCCGAAGCAAACCAGTGGAAGGGCGACGTAGTCATCCTCAGCGGTGATCGGCTGATTGGAAGTGTCCAAGGGTTGACAGTAAGTGGTCTGTCCTGCGAAACATGTACAATGCTGACCAGATCAACAGTTGCAAGGTGTCCCACGAAGAATCTTACGATACATCCTCAAGGGCAGCGCGAAGCCTAGCAAAGCCAGCCGGACAGATTCTGTTCCGCTCAAAGCTCCTCCTCAGCCCGTGGAGAAGAAGAGCTTCGAAAGGAAAAATGGGCCTCCCAATCCTGAAATAGTCTTCTCTGCAGCATCAGTAGCATTGCCAGCTCCTGCTGTTAAGCCTCAAACCCATAATTCAGCACTGGCTCAGGCTCTCAGCATCATTTCTGAGCAGAGCAATGTTCCGATTACCGAATTGACAGACGATGCGGCCTTTGCAGACATTGGCATAGACTCTCTCCTTGCGCTGACCATCACCTCTGCTTTCAGCGAAGAACTTGATCTGGATTTGGATTCCTCGTTCTTCATCGAGCATCCCACGGTGGCCAACCTCAAGCAATTTTTTGGCAGCTGCTTTTCCAGCTCGCCGGACACTGAAGTGGTGATCCCCGCTGTTGTCCCTCAAGTCGAGTCTCGAAGCATGACGCAACAGCCGGTGGCAATTCCATCGACGGATAGGGGTGTTGTCCCTGAGATGTTGAGGCAAGAGTTACAAATCAATCCTAGCACAGACAACCATAGCATTTTTCAGTCGGCTGTTCGCATTATTGCGGACGAAAGCGGTGTCAATGCTGACGATCTCACTGGGGAGACCGTATTCGCGGATATTGGTATCGACTCTTTGCTGGCACTGGTCATTGGCGGTCGACTTAGCGAAGAGCTCGGGCTGGACACTGACGCAGAGTCCTTCTTCCAGAACTGTGTGACCTTGCAGGATCTGCAGAACTATCTTGAAGATTGCAGCGGATCACCTTCTCTACAAGTAAATTCCCAACCTAGCGCTACACACACCACGATTGTCTCTCCACCTGCAAAGCAAGCTGCATTTCCTCGGGTCTCGCAGAGTTCACCTGATACGACGGCAATCCAGACCCCAGCACTGTCGGAACCATCGCCTCCAATGATAGCTCAACCTACCCCGTCAAGTGAGCCAAGTCCCTCATTCCTAGAAGTCCTGCAGATAATCAGCGAGGAGAGCGGCGTGAACGTCGGCGATCTTTCCGACGAGACGGTGTTTGCGGATATCGGCGTGGATTCGCTGCTCGCTTTGGTGATTGGGAGCCGAATCCGCGAGGAGCTCCTATGGGACCTGGATGTCGAGTCGATGCTGATTAGTTATCCCACGGTCGGAGATCTGAAATCGCAAATGGGAGGGAGAGGGCTGGTGTATCAAGCTAGCCAGAATCTGTCCAATTCGTCCCTTTCCACTCTCTCGTCTTCATATCCTTCTAGTGACAGCGTCAGCTCGGCCGCTGAGACGCCCCAGTCCGAGTTGTCTGCTCCTGAGCTCGAACCTTGCATTCCAAACGCCTCAGCTGTCGTCCTGCAAGGCTCGCCCCGGAATGCGGAGAAGATCCTGTTCCTCTTTCCCGACGGCTCAGGGTCAGCCACGTCATACGCCTCTCTACCACGTATCGCGGCCAATGTTGCCGTCATTGGTCTTAACTCACCCTTTCTTAAGAAAGATGTCGAGGTGCACTGCACTGTAGACGAGCTCGTGGGAAGCTATCTGAAAGAAATCCGCAAACGCCAGTCCACCGGACCCTATCACCTCGCTGGCTGGTCCGCGGGTGGTATTCTGGCTTACCGGGCGGCTCAGATGCTCCTCGCTCGCGGTGAGCAAGTTCCCTGCTTGATCCTGCTGGATGCGCCTCCCCCAATGAGACTGGGGAAGCTGCCGCAGCATTTCTTCGATCATTGCGACGCAATGGGCATCTTCGGCCAGGAGGGTAAAGCTCCGGAATGGCTTATTCCACATTTCAAGAAAACCAATGCCATTCTCAGTGGGTACTACGCGACGCCCTTTGCGGTAGGTCGGGGCCCCGGCAGGACAGGGATCATCTGGGCAAGTCAGAGCGTCTTTGATACCAAGAGATGCGCTCGACCGGCACCGCATCCTGACGATACGGAGGATATGAAGTTCCTCACTGAGGCACGGACTGATTTCTCATCGGGAATTTGGGGTTCATTGTTCCCGGGATCTGAGGTGGTTGTGGATAAGGTAGATGGAGCGGATCATTTCTCCATGATGGTAAGCATGTCCTTTACTTTCATCCGGTGTTGATTGTTCGATTTATTACATCGTTTACTGACACTCGCATAGCATGAGGGGAAATATGCACGGCAGGTAGCGGGGTTCTTAGGCCGGCTTTTGTCAGGAATTTGAAGCGATGGAACAGGTGTTGATGACATTATGGTTATTGTTTATATTGTTCTATAATCGTGTTGCTGGCTTCTTGTCAAATACTTTGGCTTTGCATAGTCTAAGACTGAGCACTATATTACTAAAGTCTTAATAACATTTACTAAGCATGATGACGAGATAGAGAACCTAAAAAAGCTTGCACTGCCTATAGTAAGAAAGTGCGCTATCAATATATATAACCAGCATGGGGAAGATAAGGAGACTAAAGTAAAGAGGAGCTACTCTTATAGAGAGAATATCTAGGAATATATAAAGATAATATAATTATAGGGTACAGTCATAAGTAGTTAAATATTATTTACTATGCAATATTACAACATAAGAAGAGCTGAGGGATCTAGGACTGCTCAGGGAGCAATGAGGGCATATACTTTCTCTCCTAGTTACAGTCTTACTGGCTCAGTGAGCAAAGAGCGGCGGCACTCCGGGCTGAATCCAGACACGGAAATGTACACTTTCTGCAKACAAACAGCTTAATGATAGTAATGGAAGGGAAAGCCGCTGTTCGGCCCCTCCATTCCACAATGCTAGCTGAGACATTGGATTGATTTTTCCCTTTCTATGACTTGATAAGTTTATGACACCGGATTGGTGGAAATCGGGAAGTGAAAAAAGACAGTCAAGACAATAAATATCGCCTTGAGAAATGAATACTGCATGAACAACATTTGTCTCAGGATTACTCACGATTAGTAATTATTTCTGCATTGAACTAGAGAGKTACCGAGTCAGTCAGGTCTCACAACAACTTATAAAAATGAGTGGATCACTATCTAATCCAAATCAAGATTCTCACTAGTTGATTAACTAACTAACATACGTATTAATGATTAGCTAATAGTTATGAACCGCCGACTCAGGGTATTCGACAAATAAGAGGTCAAGCTAGTATATTCAGTCTCGGCTTAAGGCTTGGCTCGTGCGGCTTGAAACTTACCAAGGCCTCTGCATCCTTCCAGGTCGAGCCCAATCCGATATAACACTTTGAACGAGTTCGACACACCGGTAAAGTGCCTTTCACAGTGGTCTTGGGGGTGGATACGTCAAGAGCATGGATCTTGACCGACTCGACCATCATCATAGATTGCTGTCTCAGCTTATATCAGCCAATAATTTGATATGGCGCCAGATTCGCCGCCGGGAAGTAATGTAGATTATGCTAGCAAGAAGATATGTGTGTCCTTTTACTGGGAGGATATGGAGAAGAGCAAGGGCTTCAGGCATTATATAAATAGAGACTGTACGTCCGCTATCCAGGCTTCTTGAAATTCAACGACAATCTCCAGCAGAAACAGCATTCAAGATCCAGCAATCCGAGATCTCAAAATATCTTCTTACTCGTTACCATCATGCGTCTTCCGCTCTCAGCCCTCCTTCTGCTTGCGTCTGCCGCAGCCATCGGTGCAGCACCATTGCAGCCCGCTGGCCCAAAGGGTGAGGAAGTCTTGCGAATCCAGCGAAGAAATGAAGAATTGTACAGATTGTTGATTGAAATTTAGAACGTGCAGCACTGCCTGAGCCCTCGGCTTCTCCGTCTCTTGTCAAGCGTTATCAAAGCTTGGAAAACGGGCTGATATTCGAATCCCATTACTCATACGGCCGCTCTTCAGTCCAATCCGTTACCCTTTCCGAAGCCAACGATGGACAGGTGCCTCCAATTGGCCTTGTATATTCTGCTGGCTCGACTGCCGAGATAGCCATTATGGCTGCTGATGGAACAAATGACGGTACATTTGCAACAGGGTCTTTCGAGGTTGGGGGTGTGCACTTCTGGTGGACAATCAATACAGGCCGGTATTGGAATGTCAATGGTCTCCTTCATCACGTTGGCACCGATGCTCTCGCCACGATCATGGCGGATGCAATTCAGACCATGGCAGTGGAGAATAATTCGGAGCTTTCTTGGACACTCCATAACGCTGATCCGGACGGCGAAAATTCTTATATGGGCAAAATAGTATTGGGCTGTTACTGAGGTGACGTTTCCAGCGGCTACAGTTTTGCAGAGAAACTTGGGAAAATTTTCTCTCTAGCAGATTTGAGTTTATTCATGGCCAGTGTGGACATCTTTATACATCGTTTCCTGGAAACGGAGCAATATTATGGTATTCAAGACGTCTGACGAAGTTAACAATTAGCTAGTAGTTTAACTTAATAGCCTCTATAAGCACATTAGTCTAAGCATTACAGATGCGTTTAGGCATCTAGTTATCTTATAATATTAAACGCCTAGTTACTCATATTAAATATAGCACTCTCTCATGACCGATTCGCGTCGTCGGTTAGAATTTACTTATTGACACTCTCGATGCGTGCCCTCCAGGGTATCCCAACGGCTCCAACGACAGAGACCCCGAATAGACCGGTCGCAAGATACCACGCAGACACCAGAGCCGAATTATACACCTCTCGGGCGCCATCCATGTATTCGGGTGGTATCACTGACGACAGGTTTGTTGCCCCGATTTCATTCACAATGGACGGGCTGATGCCTGGGACGAGTGCGAGAATGCCCGAGCGGAGCCGATTTGTGAAAACGGCCTGGCTGACGGAGACGAAGATCGTGCCGCCAAATGTCTGACAAAAGGTCATAATAGCTGTGCCAACGGGGATGTCGGCCGGAGGAAGTACCGCTTGGGCAGCAATGATGGGTAGCTGGATCCCCATGCCAACGCCAGAGCCCAAAAGAACTTGGTATCCAATCCACTTTGAGTGACCGGTGGTTACTGTGAATGTTGTCATTAAACCTGCCGCGATCGTCGACAACACAGTCGCCGCATAAAAGAAGGGCAGAAAGTTTCCTAGGGCGGTCACCCCGCCGCCTGTCACAAACGAGAAGAGCACCATGGAGAGCATCAGAGGCAGACACATAATGCCGGACTGCACCGGAGAGGCGCCCTTGATGGCTTGGAACCAGATAGGGAGGTAGTACACCATGGTGAAGTACCCACCCGCCAGCAGAACCATGAAGAGAGAGGGGAACACAACCGAACGCATGCGGATGATACGCGGGGGAACCATGGCGTTATCCTGCTGCTTGATCTGGATCAGAATAAAAGCGGCGAGCAACAGACCGGAGAGAATGAAAAGGACGATGATTCGCGCGTTGGACCAACTATACGTATTGCCTCCCCACTGGAGGGCTAAGAGAAGGCAGACGATTGCCGGAAGAAAAGTGATCATTCCCAATGGGTCCATATGCCGGATCCATCCCTTGATGGAGGTTTCTGTCCCTACCTGGAGGCCGGCCGGCAACTGAAGAAAGACGGCGAGTATTACGACCACCACGCCCCCAATGGGCAGGTTGATGTAAAAGCTGTTCGCGACAAGAGATATCAGCAGTAGAGCTGGGAGGACTGATTAGGATACTCACCACCACCTCCAGCTGACATTGGACGTGAACGCCCCACCTAGCAGAGGACCGATTATGGACGATATGCCGTAGATCGAACCAAAGATCCCATTGTCTATACGCTCCACATCAGAACTGCATCGAAAGTGACTACGCAATCAGTATTTAACGTACACACGGGACGCTTCCGCGGTTCCACCGAGTAGGCGACAATCACCATGGCCCCTTGAAAAATGCCAGAAGCACCCAGCCCTGCAATGGCCCGGCCAACGATAAAGGCATCCGAGGACGGTGCGGCTCCACAGACCGCGGAACCAACTTCGAAGACGAGGATGGCACAAAGAAATACCAGCTTCATGGGGAAATACCCGTAGAGCTTGCCAAATACTAGCTGGAACATGCATGTCGTCAGGAGATATGATGAACCATACCACCCTACCGAGCCAAGGGCTTTGAATTCGTCCGTAATGCGGGGAATAGCAGTAGCGATGATCGTGTTGTCCTATACCAGACTCAGTGAACAAGCATGATGTCACATAACAGGTGCTGAAGGCTAACCAATGCAACCAGAAAGACGGCGAGACACAGGACACTGAAGACAGCAACCAATTTCAGACCAGAAAGTGTAGGTGGTGCTCTCTCCAATGCGGAGCCTTGCTCAAATTTGACATCTTCAGCTGGAGAAGGAAGAACTCCTTTGGTTGTGGCAGGAGCATCAGGAGTCCCTGGTATAGGTGTACTGGTAATCTTCGCCTCCATCTCCATGATGTGGTTCTGTGGTTATGAGTCAGAATGCACGCATGAAACCGAACCTGGGCTGAGGCGTCCTTACATAAAGGGGCGCCTCGGTGAACTGGCAGATCTGCGCATTGGTAGTCTGTAACTAGGAGAAGGTGTTTGTCATCTCAATGGCTAGACGCGCTGTTTACATGCGGTATAATGTGTCCGTGCAATGGCCATTAGTCTATCACCGGGTACCTTGAGAGCCATCGCCAGCGGATCACACCTCTTCGATATGCCAGGGGATGCGACAGTCGGTGGCCATAATCCATGCGATATGAGCAGAATAGAGCAAAATAGATAGCGTGTTTCTTATCCCTGTACAATAATTCTATCTATTGACGCTGCTTACAAGTGACTTGCACTCTGGGATGGGTAATCCAACTTTCCAAATCCCGTTTCCAATTCTCCGAACTGGCACCCTCGCTCGCCGGAAGCTGCAGTGTCCAGTTCTGCACCAGATGAACCAGAAATAGTCGGAGGGTCAGATCGGCGACGTATTTCCCCAAACACTGGCGAGGACCAAACCCAAATCGCCACATGTGGTACCGTATTTCGGAGGTAGATAGAAGTTCGAAACGGTCCGGTCTGTACTCGCGTCGGTCCGGACCCCAGAACTCATTCTCGACGTTTAGTGCGTAGGAATCGACAATGAAACTGGTCCCAGCAGGCACGACATAGCCGTCGATCACTCTATCGGTCGGTGCAGCCTGAGGGACTGAGAAGGCTGCTAGAGGTTTCAGCCGAGACGACTCCATTATGCAAGAGGCAAGGTATGTAGAGCTACTTTGCACATATTGCAGCATCTGTTCATTGCCTCCCGCTTTAGTCGTTATCTCTTGGAATAATCGCTCCTGTGCATCGATATTTGCCGCAAGAAAAACCACGTTCCACGACAAGGCTCCCATAGTGACATCCAGATTCGCAAATAGCATTTCATCGAGCGTCTGGTAAACGTTTTCGGAGCTGACTTGGCCAACGCGGACCGCCTCAAAAAGCTGATACACGGGTGTTTCTGTCCACTTTAAGTCCTGGGCGCGCCGGAACGTGGCCTGGTTGAAAGACCTCCACTGCGCCTGGAACGATTTCAGCGCCCGATTTGCCTCGCTCGGTAGATATCGCGACCAGGTATACCGGGATAGTCCACCCTTCATGACATAAGTGAAGAGCCTCTCGCGCTCGGAGGCTATCTGGCACAGTTCCGCCTCCATGTCCAGTGTGACAGGACCGTAGAGGATATCGGCAATAATCAGAAACGGAAGAAACTTGAAATCCGCCACAGGGTCAATGGTACCGATTAGTAGTCCTTGATTGCCGGCGCAGTAGGTCTTTACTCTTTGCTCGATTCTGGCAAAGGATTCGACGGCCGTGCTGTGTCGAAATGCGGGCTCGCTAACGCGGCGCAGTGCTCGCCAATTCGCACCACTGATCAGACCCAGGCACTGGCCCAAGAGCTCCCCCATGAGATAGCCTGAGTCGTTGTTGCTTGCCTTGGTGTGCCGGTCCGAGTCTCGAAAAACAAGTTTCACATGTTCAGGCTTCTGTAACACCCTATAAATGTTGTCTCGTCAGTCTCGTCCTGGACACCTGAGAAATCGGGGAATCGGCATACACCTCTGGTTTCATTCCTGCCCAGATGCGATAAACGTATCCATGCTCCTTCGCCCATGCTCGGCGGTTCTCGATGCCTTCAAGGAACTTGCCGGCGTCCCCTTGTCCGTTGGGCCATCTATATGGCCGCCCAGGAAGTGGTCTTCCTGTCTCTTGATGGCGGATTGGATACCGACGTGTCAAATAGTACTAGAGTTGTCTAAGTCACTCAAACTCGCATGCTCTGTAGGATATTCCATGACTCACATCGAGAAGTTTCGACAATACGTCTTTGAATAAATTCGTGACTATCCCTGTGCTGAAGTGCTTTACTATAAGTAGACATAGCAATAGCAGCATAGAGTACGCAAGTTGTATAGCCTGCCCATAATAGAAGGAAGGTATCGCCGGGGCCGACATCATCATAAGACTTTACAATGTGACAGATCTGAGAGTCCCTTGACCACTGCGACTAGACAGCAAGGACGATACTTTAATAAAGGCTATGATGCCGGTGCCCGATGGCCGGTCCGCTTGTCCAGGACTCTGTTCCGAGTCGTTCCATTTGCAGTGCATTGACAAGATCCATTTGACTTTATGTATCTATCCCGAGGGCACATGCGATGGAGACGAAGATGGGAATATACCTCCCCTCCACTGCCACGCTATATACAACTGCCAAAATTGTTATTCCAAAGCATTAATTACATTAATTCATCCGGTCTTTTTCTTCGCCAGGAGTACCTCCATGTCCTCCGCAATCAACTGCTGCACAATGCCGGCCGCGACAGTGGCTCCTGTTGGGCAGATCTCGAGTAAGCAACCGGTATTTCGCTATGCAACGGGGAATAGGAGGGAAAGAGGCTTACCACTGCCGATAGCATTGGACACTGCCTTCATCGGTGTGCCAGCGTCACCGGCAACGAAGACGCCCTTGATATTGGCTGAGCACAGAGGGTCGGCCGCTTTGATATTCTGTCCCATAATCGGGTGATCTTCAATCTCGATCCCCAGCTTTCTCAGCATATCAGCCCCGGCCACGACCGTGGGAGGTTTGTGCCCCAGATATCCCATCTTGTATTCCTTTCCGCCCTCCACAATGACCGTGACACCCACGTCGGGCTCCGTCGCGGGGACAAGCCTAACGATCTTCCCAGTCTCTACCTTGCAGCCAAGAGCTTCGATCTTTTCCATTGCTGCATTCATAGCTTCATTGTCCGGTACAGGGCCGTCAGTGAAGACGGTCACGGGGCCTGATGTCTTAGTGACAAGAAGATGCATCATCTGCGCCATATGGGCATACATCGGATTTGGAAACGTCAGTATCCCACCGGGGAGATGGGATCTCTCGTGGCCGTCGCAGAAGAAACATTGGAATCTAGTTCACAGGTTCTCCTTAAGCCCTTGTCCAACAACGAAATGGACTTGCTTGTTGGAGCGCTTACATATTCTCAGGCCAGTTCTCCTTGTAGCCTTCAATTTCCGGGAACAGCTCGACGGAACCCATCGCCAGTGCCAGTTTTCGGCCTGTCCAATGTCGTCCATCGCTCGCGGTGACCTGGAACGTCTCCATGGAACCCTCGCCCTCCGTGCTTACCTTGTGCATGTCCACAATGTCTGCGGTTATGAAATCCACTGTACCATATCTCATGATCTGTTCTTTTGCGATGCTGCGAAATTCCACGGGAGGAATGCCATCTCGTGAAATAACGTTGTGCATCTCAGCAGCGCCTTCATTCCTGAAGCCTGCACCGTCGGGCTTGGTGAAAATGGCGGCTCTGCGATGCGTGCGACTGAGTCCTAAAGCCACAGAGAGACCCGCGGGACCGGATCCAACAATGAGTGCGTCGTACAGAGCTGTCGAGAGCGCCATGCTGAGTTTTGCTTGAATCGTTGCCTTCAACTACCTTGACAAGATGGCAGGTGTACTTGTGATTCGGTTTAACGCGCGGGTTGATTCTAAATAGAAAGGCGAAAATGAAACTATGACAAATACTATCACGTCCAGAATCCGCTTACTGAGTCATTTGCAAGGGTACCATGTCTACAGACCACCAAGGTCCTTCTCCTAGTGGAGTACCGTGAGGACGGTGCGGTCCGGTACATGCTCATTAGCGGGCCGGACAGTGCGCTAAGTGGAGGTGGCATAAGAACCTGATTGTCTAGACTCTGTACAATAATACGGATACGAGCCTTGTGAATGGGCAGAGACTATTAGTACTCGTCTGGCTGCCATAGCCCGCGTTTCTTGCCCTGCGCACGAAGGATCTCCCTCTGCTCCGGCGTCCATACCGGATCGATGTCATCGCAAAGTGCCTTCGTAGACCCAAACAGCCTTTCCTGAAGAGCAATATCCTCCACTTGCTTCAGGACCCGCAGGATATTGAGGCCAAGAACCTTTTGAACCGCGCTCTCGGACACCCCACGGCGTAGGAGATCTTCCACCAATGCAGGGAAGTGGGACACATCGTCGAGGCCATCGGGGCCTTCAAGCATGCCGTCAAAATCGGATCCTATCCCCACATGATCGAATCCGATTGTTTCACCGACGTAGACGACGTGGTCTACGACCTGCTTCCGAGTAGCATGTGCACCCCCTGCACGGTCGACGAGCTCCCGCAGACAGCAGATCATAACGACACCCTGATTCTTCTTCAGGAGCTGCAACACACGATCGGAGACGTTCCTTCTGTGTGGGACAAGGGCGTAGCTGGTTGTTCAGTCAGCGAGTCGCCAAATGGTTGGGTCACAGAGTACTACCATGCTGAGTGAGAGAATATCACTGGCGCCCTGGAAATTGCGAGCGCATCGTGCTGGGCTGCCTCGCTCGTGTGAGACAAATCCACAATTCTATAGATGTAGACTCCATTAGTATTGATCATCAAATCTTCCCAAAAATAAAGCTTGTGGTCGTACACCCCGACGCGATTCATTTCCTCAATCATACGTTTTCCATCTACACTCAAGCCATGATGTAAAGCAGAGTCTGTCTTCGAAAAGTCAGCACCAGGTGGCCAGTAACTAAGCGCAAGTGTGGGTGTACTGACTGCAGAGTCCGAGTATGGGTTATTACTGGTATGGCTTAACGAGGCATAACGAACTCCTAGTCGGTGAAAAGTTCGCAAGATACTCGGGGAGTCTGTAATTTGGTGAAGACCTTCAATGCCAATGAGACTGGCAATGCGCCCGGAGCGAAAAATGCTCCAGACAGCAGCAGCTGACTCGGCCAGGCCGAAAACATGGGGGTACGCCTCCAGCATACGGTGGATCACATCGATCTGCTGGAGGGTGTCACGCAGCCTCTTCCAGTGAGCCTCATCGGGGAAGCTCTCAGGCTGTTTTGGGCTGTAATCCAGGGACTCAGGCGCTCACATTAGCGGATCTTCTTGCAGTCTGGCAAATTTGATTGACACCCACCATGGCACAAAGGCACTCCAAAATTGGCCTCCTACCATTCCCCTCCGCAGCCGGGCTATGTCCGTTTGTCCAATAGTCAGGTGGTTCAAGTCTCCCTTACTCAGATCATTCAGAAAGTGCCCTCGGAGCATCCATGGGAAATCATTGTGTCCGTCTGGAGAAGAAAATTTTCTCTGTCAGTTCAGAGTCGCTGTTTCAAGCAACGGGATTATTGCTTATACCAATGAGCGGAACCTGCTGCAGCAGTCGCTGCGCTTTCAGCCGGTACGTATGCCTCTCGTTGGAGTCATCAGGTCCTTGATTCTCAGGCATGTTGTCAGAGGGTTTGAATTTACCAATTAATTCTCTGAAGCAGGGTGCGGCAATGAAGAATACCATGTTCCTAGACGATAGTGGATTTAAAAGATCATAACTGTATTCAGTTTTCACCTCCGGACCGAATATCTCTGACAGTCCTAAATATCACAGGGCTGCTCTTATCATAATCCATCTCCCCGTCCAAATATCTTTGAATATACATTATCATGCCAGGCCCACATGCAGCGATAAACGAGAATGATTGCGGTCCCGACGAGTCTCGGACAGTGGCCTCGTTCATCCGTGCTCACCTTTGTCAGGCGTGCCAGGATTCTAATGGCGCGGCGCCAGAAAGCGAGGAACCAGCACGCCCCGAAGCGACCTCTCAGTGTCTGGGGCCGTTCAAATCTCGGCAACGACTCGAGGTAAGCTCGATAGGCTGTGGGGAGTTTGAACTCCTCGGCGCCCTCGAGAATCAAGCCCTGCCATTGTCAGCCACCTAGTTTCCGCTCCTTGTCCGGGACTTCATTTACCATGTACCGGGCACTTGGCGCTCTATTGGGTCGCCAGGGATACTTGGCCTCCAGCGTATGCACCAATATTTCGCGCTTATCGGTGTGGAGGTCAGCCACCGGCCCGGCTGTAACGGTAATCTCGTTGTACCCGACTCCGGCACCTTCGGTGAGCACCAAACGCCGGTAGTCGTCTGGTGTGAGGAGGTATGCAACGCCATGAACTGGTAACAACGTTTGATGCACTTTGCTGTTTGTAGACCCTGCGGTTGTATCCGGCATTGGTGCGATGCTGGCAAAGGACGGCTCTGCGTAGGGAATACCGAAGATGTCAAAGCACAGTATATGCGATGGTACGACCACGGCTTGGGAACAGAGAGGTGTAATTCCTCGAGCCTTCATGACAGAGGACTTTATATTGGATCCATAAGCAAAGTACCAGATTGCTTTATCTGAGTTTTGAATATCGGGCGAGCCAAACTGGGTCATTGTTACGATGCCTTCGACCGTGGGAGCACAGCGAATCTCAAAGTGGGCGAAGAATAGACAGAAAATATAGGACGCTGGATAGTGAATGCGCAGGTCTATCCATGTTACTCTAGTGGAAATAAATAGACAGCATGGCCTCCGAGCTACTTTCACAGACTGTCCGGAACGGACGGCCACAACTGTCGACCGTCTTCGTACCAACCAACCTCTAGTGATAAATCCGACTTTTCCAGGCCTTTCCTAGAGTTATGCACAATACACTAGGCGTTGAATTATGGACTCTCAGTGTCTACTTTCCCGGCGATCGCACGCCTCGACCGAGGCCCTCCAGCAGTTTGGCTTTCGAGCTGTGCAGAATCCCTCCGCTCCAAGGGTAAATGATGAGGCAGCCGTCGACCTCTCCGTGGCTGAGAACTGGTGCATCCGCTCGGAAATGATATCGTTGTTCCAAGAGGCAGTTCTCACAGGGCTTAATGATCGAGTATGATTATACCAATGGGGGCAGATACATTACGCGGCTGACCTAGCACAGCGACTGTCCTATAGCAACAGCTATTTCGGAGATACAGAGTTAATCGAGGCATTAGCTTCTTTCTTCAACCAGTATTTTCAGCCATATCGACCTGTAGAGCCTGCGCATTTGGCCATTGGACCGGGCTCATCGGCTTGTCTGGATGCGCTGATGCATCACATTTGCGATCCTGGCGAAGGGGTTTTGGTTCCAGTTCCCTTTTGGAGTATGCTTTCTCAATTCCACTAAAATTATTCTATTGATCAGGTGGATGCTAACGGCGTAAAGATGGATTCGACTTCCACTTCACTATTCGTGCCGGGGTACAACTCGTTGAAGCACAAGTCGACACCCTGCACAACACGACGGACCCTGACGTCTTGATCGCTGCGTTGACGCAGGCATTCGACAAGAGCCCGTGCAGGATCCGAGCTCTCGTCATCACCAATCCGGGTAACCCTCTAGGCCAGTGCTATTCCCAGGAAGCACTTCGACGCTGCGCGCAGTTCTGCCAACAGCTGAACCTGCATCTTGTCTGCGATGAGCTATACGCCCTCTCCTGCTTCCGGCCAGATGAAGTCAAGGCAAATGGCTTTACTTCAATTTTGTCGCTGGATCTGGAGTCCTGTGGAGTTGACCCGTCACGAGTCCACACTGTCTGGAGTCTGAGCAAGGACTTTGGTTGTAGTGGTCTTCGCCTAGTGAGTCCTTGACATTGGATCTTCTCCTAAAATTGTTGACATGATTGGCAGGGATGTACCATCTCACAAGCAAATCCTACGCTTCTCCTGGGCCTGTGCTTGCCAATGAGCTCAGAAGTGTCTTCATTAACTGCGCTGTGTACCACCAGTCTCTTGACCTCCCCAGAGCTTCCAAGGCTTATCCGGTTGAATACCGAGAGGCTATTGGACTGCTACAGGCTCTTGACCAACTTCCTCGACTCCCGCCACATCGACTATATACCAGTCACAGCCGGACTGTTTGTTTTTGCTCGGTTGATGACGACGGCAAAGTCATGGGACGATGAAGCCAATCTCCAGCAATGCCTACGACGAGAGGGTCTGCTTGTCAGTCCGGGGAAGCTATATCATCTCCCTTCGGGACAGAATGGCTGGTTCAGATTGACTTTTGCTATACCAAAGGATCAACTATCCAAGGCAGTGGCTATTCTGGCCTGTTGTTTATGAAATAGGGCGCACATTACTAACTATCCTTAAGGATCCTAGATATTTGGTTGGCTTTCATGATTGACTACATTCTATGTAATCTGAGAAAGTGAAAACCATGGATTTAAACCAAGAAATCGTCCCTCTGTAACAAAAGCTATAAAAAAATAAAAATAAATGAGACACGTAAATAATCACATAATTTCATTCCATCTGGATGTATACGACTTATTTGGGAAAGCATCCCGGGAGAGCAGACAGACGGCGGCGGTCAAGGGTACCGGTTCAAATTGATACTCCCTCTAGTCACAATTGCTGTTAATGTTACTATCTTTTTATAGCTCAATTCAATATTCGGTATAGCAGCGACAGCGGCCGCCCAAGGCACGAAAACACTGGCTGCATCTCCCCAGCCAGGGACGCGGTCCGCTGCGGAGGACTGCATCTATATATATATGTACTGTCTATATGGAACCCAACACTGCGATCAAAACAACGAGACTCAGAGCACGCAATCATGGAAGCTACTCTCTCAGTTCTTTGTTCTTCCTTACAGGAAATCACCACCCAGTTGTCAGGACCTTTACACTCCGAGGTTCAGGCATCCCTTCACGATCATAGCGAGGGAAATTTACCAGACGCCAAGTTGGGACAATTGGCCGCCCGCACCATTGATCTACTGCACCAGGTCGAGCAACTGCTGGAGCCATCTTCGGTGGTGCTAGCGGACCACTTCCTTGGTAAGTAACTTGGGGATATACCCTGCGCCCGCAAACCTACTGACTGAATGACCGGCAGGCTATCTCAATACGAAATGTCTCTGTGCCGCTGTCGAACTGCGCATACCGAACCTCCTCGCCCAAGGACCTCAAAGCGTGGCAGAAGTGGCGAGACTGTCAGGGGCCAGGGAGGATCGTCTGCGACAGGTGCTCCGACTGCTTCACAATAACGGAATCTTTGCGTACGACCCGCAGAAGGACGAATATCGCAACAGCCACACGTCCGAGTTGCTGACCACCGACCACTGGACCCAATGGCACAACTGGGTGGATCTCTACGGGAATGAATTCTACGATATGGCGCGCGGGATTCCCGCCTCGGTGCGCAAGGAAGCCATCCGGACTCCAGCGCAGATCCAATTTGTCACCGACCAGAACATGTTTGATTATTTTACGGCCCGCGGATGGCTTCCGCGCCTGCACCGGACCCTCGGTGGGGGAGCAACCGCCCAAGCGCCCGGCATCCTGGCTGATTACTCCTGGGAGGAATTCAGTGGCAAAGCGTTTCTCGACGTCGGAGGCGGCCAGGGCGCTCTGGTGGCTATGATTCTGAGACGGCACCCATCCATTACGGGGGCTTTGCTCGACACCCCCAAGGTTATCGAGCGGGCCCGCTCGCTGTTCCACACTGCAGATGGCGAGTATGCTGATGTCGGAGACCGCGTGCCCGGGGAGAATCTCATCGCAGGAGACTTTTTGGAGAGCGTTCCCAGCTTTGAGTTCTACACTATGAAGTGGTGCCTGCACGACTGGAATGACAGTAAGACAGCTGCGGTTCTGCAGAATATCCGGCAGGCCATCCGGAAGACCCCAGACAGCCGTCTGGTCGTAATGGAGTCGATTCTGGCGGATGGACGCAGTAGTCGCCTGTCGCGCTATGCTGACCTGACCATGATGGTCAGCGCCGATGGTCAGGAGCGAACAGAGGCCCAGTGGAGGTCTCTTGCGGGCCGGACCGGGTGGGAGATTCGACAGATACGGCAGTTGAGGGGGGCATGGCCGTGTGCAATCGAGATGAGGCCTGTATAGAGAATCACCGTTCTATATAACCTAGATAAGTTACCAATTTATCCCATTAGAAGCATTAGCACCTTTTCAGTGTCAGTTATCCCGATCCAAGCGTTATGATGGACACCGTACAAGACACTCCGGCTGTGATCCAGGGGGATGTAGTATTCGACGGTCGAGTCATCTTATATGTCATCAAAGGTATCTCCTCCCTCTAAGGCTTATGATGGTAATGGCTGATTGAGCAGCGGACGAGACTTCGTACATCAACTACATCAAACCGCTCATCCTCGCGCGAGAGATGCACATTCCGCATCTTCTGTCCGTCATTGACACAAAGGATGAGTGGTTCTATCGAATTCATCCAGAGCGAATGGTTCCATCGCTGAGGGATGAGGATCCCACGACAAAACAGGAGGTGATTGTGTTTGAGAGCACCGCGTGCCTTCAGTACCTTGCGGACCGGTTTGACCACGACGGTACCTGGACGGGACGGAATGCTACGGAGAAAGGGGCGGTGCTCTCCTGGACCGCCTATCAAACCGCCGGACTAGGGTAGGATTGAGTTTTTGATGGCTCCGAATACCCCAGAAGTACACCGGACTAAAATTCCGGTACAGGCCGACAGCCAAGTATTGGCTCTATTTTTGTCGCGGATATCCGAATCGACAGAATCCCGTCCAGCTTCCCCGAACAATCGAAAAGTGAGTCTATAGTCTCCAAACTCTCATTATGTAATTCTATAATCCTGAACGGGTTCAGACTTCATGCGAATTGCCTGCGGCAATGGGATATTCTGGAGAAGAGGCTCTCGTTACCGGGACAGGACTACATTGCTCTTGTTGATCGACCCACGCTGGCCGATCTCTCGTACTTCCCGTTCGCCATGCCGTGGATGTTTCACTTCCTTGGGGTGAACATCCAGGATTGGCCACACATCCAGCGGTGGAGTGAAAGGATGCTGCAGCGACCTGCAGTCAAGGCGGTTCTAGAAATGGCTCCCAAGATTGGCCATTGAGCAATGGTGTGTAGATTAGGACTACTTGAAGAATCCGATGGCCATTCCCGGTGGCTATAGTGTTAATTATTCGATGGATCCTTTCTGGATGGCATCGGCCCGGATAGAGCAGGGCGAACAAGTGGCAGAGCATTATAAGGGTTAAATAGACCTTTTTCCAGCAAAAATGCTCCTATTCCTTTAGATCTGCTTTTGAATTCCCTCCACAGTGAGTGTATTGAATCAGCTCTAATAGTCATGTATGATCAATGGACGGAAAATCATTCCCTGGCCGCGGTCCTGCTGGGACTTGCGACCCTGGCATTTGTTCTCATCCGTGCTCGTAAACAAGCTCTCGATTTACCTCGATTCGAAGTCACCTCCAATGTCGCCAAAACCATCGAGGAAGCACATGCACAGGTATAGTAGCCCGTTGGCGCTTGACGATTTATCCTCGCGCTGGCTGATCAGGAACCACAGTATCCTGACGATCCGTTCATTCTCTCAATGGTGGGAATGGAGTTAGTTATTCTTCCCCGGTCTGGCATCGATGTGCTTAAAGCTTTACCTGAAGACCATGTCTCCATCAAGTAAATTTTACCCTTTCGTTTTCTCTGGTCTGTGGTCACTGATTCCCGATTCCCTTTGGGTGTAGGAAACATCACCATGACGTCTTCTTGGGCCAATACACGTACATGGGCACAAAAGCCCCCGAATTCGACGAGGCCATGCGCTACGATCTCACGCGGAATACACCGACCGTGCTGGCCTCCTTCGTGGCCGAGGTCGCTTACGCCGTGGAGCAGAGCTTCGGTCAGCCTCGCGAATGGACGTCCTTCCAGCCGCGGCAATGTATGTCCCGGATCGCGTCGTTGATGTCGGGCAGAGCATTTGTCGGCCTGCCACTCAGCCGCGACGATACCTGGAGCCAGGCAACGGTCACCTACACGCAGGACGTCACTCGCGCATGGCTGGTTCTGCGCATGATTCCATGGCCGATCCGGCCGTTGATTGCAGACCTACTCCCGCAGGTCCGATCGTTAAAGTACCAGCGGCGGATGACGGAAGAGAAGCTCAAGCCGCTACTTGAAAATCCACCCAGCCAGGCGTCAGCGGCCGACGATGCCCCGGGAGGGGATATGCTGCGTTGGTTCCGACAGCGGTACCCGGGAAATCCCACGCCTAAACAGCTCGCCCGGGATCAGCTTCTGGCCACCTTCGCCTCTATTTACAATCTCTCCAATGCGTTGACCTACTTGATCTTCGATCTCGCCAGTCATCCAGAGCATATCGAGCCGCTGCGAGCCGAACTTCAGGATGTACTACATGGAGAATCGATCAACAAGGAGAATATCCAGAGACTAAAGAAACTGGATAGTTTTATCCGTGAGTCACAGCGGCTTAGTCCGCCTTCGCTAGGTAAAGACGGTCCTATCCGCATTTGCGCTTGATCTAAACAAGCTGGTTACTGACATTCAGGCCTCGACTATGCAGCAAATATGCCACGAATTGTGACACATCCGCGGGGTCTGAAGCTTCCCAGTGGACATGTAATCCCACGCGGAACCCGGGTTATGGTCCGCGCGCACACTCTCAACATGGATCCTCTACTGTGGTCAAATCCGGCCGAGTTTGACGGCTTCCGGTTTTCGAAATTGCGGGATCAACCGGGCAACGCCTTCAAATATCAACATGCCACGACGGGCACAGACAACATCAATTTCGGTCATGGTATATGGGCGTGCCCCGGGCGCCACTTTGCCAGTAGCCAGATGAAAGTGGTTCTAGCCCATTTGCTACAGCACTATGATATCAAGCTACCTGACGGCGCCGACAAGCCTAAGCAGCAGCATTTCGGTCTGGCCATTGTACCCGATGAAAGGGCCACAGTTCTGATGAAATTGAGACAGTAGTCCTAGAACAATAAATATACGAGTCCATTTGGGTAGTTGAAGAGACTCGTTGTCTTGGATTCGCACTACAGGCTGTATGAGAATCCGGCCGTAATTAATGGTAGTGATCTTGATATCTCCTAGGCTGTAATGGTCACCCACCGGCTCTCGATAAACCTTGAACGTGGGAATGCGGCAGTCTCCTGCCAGCGGACCGATCGAGTCAGCGTGCAGCCCCCAGGACACCCTCTCTCGCTTGGCATGATGGTTGGCCTCTGTAACCTTGGTGGCCGGTGCTCAAGCGTCAGTATACTCAGTTACAGTAGGCACACTTATTGTATAAATTCAGTCCAAACGTGGATGCAGTCATCTCCCACCACAATCAAGAAGCTCTCTTTCACTGTCAAAGACGCCCCTGAGACCGGAAGCAATGAATATGCAGGAGCAAGTCATTGAGGAGATCGCACGAGTCCTGAAGGTCTCAACAGACGAGGTGGACGTTTCCTTGAATTTTGCCCATCTTGGAGGACATTCGTTGGCTGCTCTCCAACTTGCACGCGCCTGCAAGCACCGAGGAATTGAAATTTCCGTCGGCGAGATATTGCAATGTCGTTCTATCACTGATCTGATATCGTCTGCGAGGCCCATCCAAGTCTCGAGCAAAATAGAAAAGGCAATGGATGCCATGAATACCATCGACGCGATCGACGACTTCCTAAATCCTCCAAAACAACAGACTACATCGAATACTATACGCTACCCCATCCCACGGTGCCTGACTCCCCCATCCACCCTTCCCGACTCTTCGGATTCCCACAAAGTCTCCATTCCGGAGATGCAGTTATCGTTAATCAGGGGCAGCTTAACGCGGCCAGACCACAATATCCTGGCCTACAGTCGCAGGTGCTCCGCGCACCAGTTGCCTGCAATGAGGGAGGCCTGGCAACGTGTCCTCGAGTGTGAGGAGATATTCCGTACAGAGTTTCATATCGAGGACGGCCAGGAGTACCTTATCAGCTCCGGCTTTACCCCGAGTCATTGGACAGAGATTACAATGAGGGACAAGGCGGCCGTCGAGGTCGAGTTAATGCAGCCTCCGAGCTTCACTGGGGTTGGCTGGGAGTTTCGGACAATCACTATCGAGGACAGTGACACGGCTTATCTCCTATGGCACGTTCACCACGCCCTAATAGACGGATACTCGATGAAGATCCTCCTCGACAAGGTCTCGCGCGTGATGGCGGGGCTCCCCGTCCTCCCAGGACCATCGTTCGTAAACGTCGCCCGGATGCGAGAGATGCAGATTGAGCAGCGCCAGGATGAAGCCATAGCCTACTGGAAATCGCAGAAAGAAAGCCTGGAGAATGCTACAACTGAGATTGGGCTGCCTTGCTTGCCAACCAGCGTTAAGCAGTCGAGTTTCTGGAATGGTCTAGCCATGTACCCAGTGGGCGTGACATCCTTCGAACTCGAGCAGTACGCGCATTCCCATGGTGTGACTGTTGCCTCCATCTACTATGCGTCTTGGGCGTTGGTCCTGTCCAGGTTGTGTGACTCCGACTGCGTTCTGTTTGGGGCCGTTGTGTCCGGCAGGTCGTTACCCGTTGCTGGGATCCTGGAGGTGGTCGGTAGTCTGGTGAATACACTACCAATCGTCGTCACCGTGGATGAAAAGCTTGATACAAGCGCCTTCGTGAAGAAGGTATTTGAGCAGATCGTGGAGCTCGCCGCGTATGACTGGACAGTGCCCGAACATGGCTATCACCGACGCGTGTCGTCCGCCCTGGCGATGCAGTTTGATGTCGTCGGTCAGGACCCTTGCGCCGCGACACAGCAGCTACCTCTGCCCAGTTCGCGGATGAACAGCGAGATTCCCCTGAGCTTGCTCATAGAGACTGATGGAACAATCTGCATACAGTACTCGGAGCAGCGGTATCACAAGGAACAAATCGACTTCGTCGGGCTCCAGTTCTCCCAAATGGTCGCACGCCTACTACGAGGCCCCAACACCGTGGGCATGTGTGTTCAGGAGATGGTCTCCCTACAGGACCGTCAAGCATTGTTTCAATTGGGCAACTGCCTGTCAGCATCGACGACKGAAACATCTGTTGATGAGGATCTGGTAACCCTCATGAAGAAGGCAGCCTCGAATGATCCGCTCGCGTGCGCTGTGCAAAGGCTAGACCAGACCATGTCATACGAAGAGCTCGATCGCTGGAGTGACTGTGTTGCGCTGCATCTGGCCACCGTTATTCAGAAGGGAGACGTTGTCTGCGTGCATGCGGAATCGTCCATCTACTGGACTGTGGCGGTCTATTCCGTTCTCAAAGCCGGCGGCGTTTACTGTCCTCTCAATGAAAAGCTGGATCCCGAGCTTAGAGAGAGCATGTTTGAGCTATCGGGAGCCGCAGTGTTCCTGACACCGTCAACCGTGGAAACGAAGTGTCGTCCCAGTGCAAGTCGATACTGCTGGGCCGTTCAAGACCTTCTGCAACAGCCCCAAGAAGGCGAAGAAGTATCAGACCAGGGCCGTGAAGCTGATCCTGCTGCGAACGCATATCTCTGTTTCACATCCGGGTCCACCGGCAAGCCCAAGGGCGTTCTATGCACGCACCAAGGGCTGGTTGCATTCCAACGGGACCGGGAAGTCCGGCTGCTGGCACAGCCGGGGCGCAAGATCGCGCAGATCATGTCTCTCTCATTTGATGGCAGCATTCATGAGCTGTTTTCTGCTCTAAGCTATGGAGCGACTTTGGTTCTGCCACATCCGAACGACCCCTTTGCCCATCTTCTGGAGGTAGACACATGCATTCTCACCCCCTCTTTGGCTGCGACCATGGACCCGAGTGACTATCCGAACCTGGCGACCGTAAGTTATACCTTATGCGTGACTCGAAGCCACCATTACATTGCTAACATGAACCCCTGTCAGGTCTATCTTGTCGGTGAGCAAGTAACGCAAGATGTGAACGACCGATGGAGTTCGTGCACAACGCTGTACAACATGTATGGTCCTACGGAGGCCACCTGTGGTGCTACCATCAAGCGATTACTCCCAAAGCGGAGAGTTACTATTGGGCGTCCGAATCCTTCCACGCGGATCTATATCCTGGATCAGCATCGGCGCCTGGTCCCCCGTGGAATGACGGGCCAGATATACCTTGCTGGAGTGCAGGTCTCCAATGGCTATCTCAACCAACCTAGTCTGACGCGCGATAGGTTCCATGCGGACTCGGTATGCCGAGGATTGCGAGAGCGTATGTACGCCACAGGGGATATGGGATACTGGAACGATGAGGGTGAACTCATCTGTCTGGGCCGGAATGATCGCCAGATCAAACTTCGGGGGTTTCGCGTAGACCTTGAGGACCTCGAGGCTCGCATCTCCACGATTCAAGGTGTCAATGCGGCGGCCGTCACTCGCCATGAAGACGAACTGATCGCTCTGGTGCAACCCAGCAGCATCTGTGCGACAACGTGCAAGGAACGTATGGCTAGTATGCTCCCAGCTCATGCCATCCCACGGTATATCATCCCCGTCGACCGGTTCCCCATGACGATGGCAGGCAAGCTGGACTACAAGGCGTTCCATAATTTGCTTAAGCGGACTGGTACTGCCCAGGTGGATAAACAAATGAGCTCTACGGAGCAGCGTATTGCCAAAAACTGGTCTGACCTTTTGGGGCAACTGAAGACCAAAGAGATCTTCCCGGACTCCAGCTTTGTCGCGATGGGCGGCCACTCCCTTCTGCAGCTGCGCCTGGCCAGTCGTCTTTCTGCCGAGTTTGGACGCCCTATTCCTCTCGCCCTCATTGTCAACGCCCTATCTCTCCGCGATATGGCGCGCCATGTGGGTAAACTTGTCGCCCGCGGCTGTCGCCTAGCCACCCAGTCCGGGATCCAGATGGGACCGAACGATGTTTCCCGGATGGAGGGCGAATGGCTGGCCAAATACAGTTACAACACGAGCAACAGCAGTGGTGTCAGCTCGTTCAACGTGTCTTTTGCCTGCCACCTTGCTCCGTCAACTGATCGGAATCGCCTGTGCGCCAGCTGGGATAAGGTCATGGCTGATCACCCCATTTTACAATCCAGATATCCAGCCAGTGGCAGGATGGCCCCAGCTCGAGTCTACTCGCATCAGCCACCCAAAGCTCAATTCATAGATGAGCTTGATGAACGCGCGGAAATCAACCGGCCTTTCCACGTGGATCGGGAGGATCTCATTCGAGTCTTCATTTCCCCGACGTTGATGCTGGTCGTCGTAAGCCATCTCATCTGTGACCTTACCACTATGCGATTGCTACTGAAGCAGGTGGAGAATGAATACCACGGAAAAGGCCTGCAGCAAGCCAGTATCCCTTACGAAACCGCTGATGCCTGGAAACGACAGGCCTCGGACGAAGATCTTGCTTTCTGGACTACATACCTGAAGGACGCGCCATACCCGGAATCACAGCGAAGAAGCTACAATGGCCGATCGCGGCTGAGTATCATCCCAAAAGCGACATCCCATGCAGTGACGCATTTCGTCCAGACGTCCCCTTTCACCCATCACCAGCTCGCTATTGCAGCCGTTGCTCTAGCTCTCAATACGAGAAAAGACCGTATGGATGTCCTTCTTGGGGGCCCGTTTGCCAACCGATGGTCGGAAAATGACATGAACACCATCGGTCTATTTCTGGAGCCCCTGCCCATTCGGATCCAGTTTGATGCAGACCATTCTTCCGATGCTCAGGCCTTCCTGCAGTCTGTGTTGTGCTCTAGCCAGGCGGCCCTTTCGCATGCCGTTCCGTGGCAGGATCTTCTCTGCCACCTGGGGGTGACGCCGGGATATCCCAACCATCCTCTGTTTGAGACGGTGGTCACCTTCCACGAGCGACAGGATGCGCTGACATTCGCCCTGGACGATACGACTACGCTGCTCCCCTGGTCCAATGGTGCCAAATTTGGTCTTATGTGTGAATTTACGGCGCTGCCTGACGGACGGATCCTCCTGCGTCTGGAGTATGATGACACACTCTGGGACGAAGTGGAGATAGGTCGGATTGAAAGATCCATCGCGACCTCACTTGAACTATTCGCCCAGAATACGTCATATGCCGACATCATCGACACGTTACGCGGAATAGCAGAACAGCCCCTAGAATCGTTGGAGGAGCAACCGGACGCTTTGAATCTGGTGGACTACAGGCTATTATAAACAATCACCCTCTGCACCTTTCATTTGTCTAAGGTTACTAAATACTCTCTACAACTGAAATGAGATATTGTATTCTTTTTTCCAGACTTTGTGTCCAGCTGTTTAGACAGAAGGAGCGGTGATCCGGCCGTGGCGACGATGAGAGACACCGAAGCATCTGGAGACTTCGGCGCAACTCTGTAGATATAATCCGCGCCGATAAAACCGCCTGCTCCTGCGGATCGAGGAGAAAGGACCCGAAGCCGATCCCAGGCGTGTAGGAGAGCGCGGGAACAACGGAATTGGGACGTTTTCCCGCAATATCGGGCGCGGTAGGCCACTGATTCTGAAGAAGCGCAGGGTAGAGTTCCTCGCAGGCCGTCTCGAATAAATGCACGGCATGCTGTGCCGCCGCGAGCATCACAATGGATGCCCCTACGCTACACGTGTAATCGCGTCGACTCATGAGCTCGCTGATTGCCTGGGTGGCGGCCTTGTTGACGCGGAGAACCTCATCGATTGCGGTGAGGCCACCGCGCACCTTTGCCTCCAGCTGCTCCAGGATCTCTGCAGCGGCAAGGATGACTCCTTTGCAGGTCGGATCTGTGACGAGCCCCTGGCGTCCGTACGGGCGATACGGTGCCTCCCGTGAGATGGTTTTCTGAGCCCAGCCGTCGCAGCCGGGCAGGCGATGCCTGTCATCCAACCGCCACGGCGGACTTTGGACCAAGGGAGTAAATGTATGCGGTGCTTCCGAGGAGCCAATGGCGGAGTCCAGGTGACGGTCGTGCGATGAACCTAAGTCAGGACCCGGTTCATTACCCACAGAATTTGTACTGCTGCTCATGCCCCCCATAGTATACTCCTGGAGTAGTTCCATCTCCTGCAGCCCCCCTTCCGTCCCGGCGATGTTGGGATCCGAGACGGGCTGGGGAATATCCCACAGATCATGGTGCAGAAAGTCATTGGTGTCAATGCTGAAGGCTGGAGAACCCGAGGAAGAAGTGATAGCTTCGCGGGAATCGTTGCGGGACGGCGAATTTCTCTTGGACGCGGGATCCGGGGCCGAGTTCTGATTGATCGAGTGTGCCCGTTCCTGTCCAGCACTGCGCTTTCGTCGCCCTCTGGTCTTTCCCACTCGCGATTCAAGGTAGATGCATTCGTGGCCCAGACTGCGGCAGCGCACACAGCCCGTCTTCTCGCCACTGCAACGGACCTTGGCCGCATGGCAGCTGGTACAGGCCGCTCGCAGTCGCCCTGGTTTCCCATCATGCTGTCCGACCGGGGATCTGGAGCGCAGTTAATTGTCAATTCGATCTGAGGGCAGCAAGTTGTGACATACTGTGACAAGGCCTGACCAAGCATTTTCAACTGAAATCTGGGCTCGATCGGGGTCTGGGCATAAGGCACAAGGATTGCGACACAAAGCAAAATATGACGATACAGAGAATTGCATATGCCTCATCCTGGATCTTTAATGTTGGGGAGCATAGACACTGCGTAGATTGCCAACTTGGCGATGTTTGGGCCGTTCTGAGTACCTTGTAGTTTGTGAAGCTGTTCACACTCGGGCCCCCAATGTCCCTCCACAACCTTGGTATAATAGGGGCCAAATTAAGTTATTTCTATACGAGGCAAAAGTTCCATGCCCCTCCAATCAGGATTACCTTAATATCTATCCTTTATAACCGCTACGCTGCCTACTCCACCCATCCCCTCCCCAATGCGGTCCGTGGCGTTCATGCCGCCAGGGTGTGTCGTTTATCAAGGGTCTTGTATGGGTTCAGCAATCGTCCCTTTCCCCCAGGGTTCCTTCTCTCGCTGATGAAATAATATCTGTCAGGCTCTTTCCGAAGCGGGCTCGAATACCACCGCTGGAGCCAAGGCCAGTTGCTTTTTACGACGATATCGAGGTCTATCTACGACCAGCACAACTCCGGGACCTTGGTGACGTAGAATAAATTGATTGATTTACATAATTGTCACCAAATTAGCCAATTGTATTCACTCCACGAGCGTGCCATTCGACTTCCATTCGCGAATCTTGGCCACAACAGTCCGTGCAGCGCCTCGGGCCAACAAAGAGTACTCTTCCTGGATCTCCTTAGCGCGGTCGCTTCCAGGTACCACGCCAGGCACATGCAGCTCGTATACAGCTGTCAGAAACAGGTCCGTCGGCTTATCCGACTCTCGGCCTCCGCGCGAGATGAGCATTGTGCTACGTGCACCAGAATCGATAGTGATGGCTTCCGTCTGCGGCAGGATGAGTGGTCAGCAGTGCTACTGGCATCTCTAGGTCTCTTATTCGCACCAGAAGGTTGTCCGCGTTGCGCACGTTCTGCTCCAGGACGGCGCCCTTGGCCGTGTGCACGGCCCCGTCAGCCATGATCAGTCTTCGGGTGAATTCATTCTGAGATTTTCGACCAGGAAGGACTTCTGTATCTGCCACGTAGTCGGCAAAGAGATGAGGTTTCTCTCCGCCGCGTCGTAGCCCCCGCCAGAACTCCTCCAGGGTCAGGATGGGGCCTGCAGGATCATCATTGACGGGTACGGTAAAGGCAACGTTGAAGACGAGCTCGATGGATTCAGCCATTGTGGATAGTGTATGATAGCTGTGTGGTAGTGTTTCACTCCTCGCCTACACATATATAGTCCTCACGGCGACGTTAAGTCTTAGGCCGGGCCGTTGTCACTCGGTCCGGGTGATTTGGGAGCAATTCGGTCTCCGACTCTGTGGATGTTAATAATGGAGGAAACACTCCAAGTCAATGTAAACAGTTCAGTTGTCGACAGAAATTGATCGTCACAAAACCAATATGGGCTTAGCAAGTGACACAATAGCTCCCCTTGCGGAAAAATGGCATGATACGACATGGAGCACCATTGCTCTGTATGGCACGGTGATCTTCGTTACTCGGGTGAGTTTTTGTAGGATAGCATGATATGCAACTAAATGAGTGACGGACTGATTACCGCATTTCAGCTGCTCATCGTGTCAATCTATCGCCTCTATTTTCATCCATTGGCCCAGTATCCTGGCCCTTTGCTGTGCCGCATCAGTATTCTACCAAGCCTGTATTATGCCTGGACAGGAGACAGACATTTGGTCGTTGACAAGATGCACAAGGCTTATGGTACGCTATCTCAAGAACATTCAATGCGATGACCAGAATGCTAATCGATCTTTCCGTGACAGGCAAGGTTCTGCGTCTCGAGCCCAACCTGATCTCGATATGTACTCCAAATGCAATCAGGAGTAAGACACCGTCTCCCAGTTGCTGCATGATAATACGTACTCACTTCAATAGCTGTCTATGGTCCCGGGACCAAATTCGAAAAGGTAACCATGTCGTGCATTGCGGCCCGTCAATACCCTTACTCACACTATCCAGGGGATGTTCTATTCTCGAGGGCCAAAGGAGAAGCAGCTTCTCGTGGTACGTACAGCCTCCACTCCAGCGTTCTACACTGTCTATGTACCTAATTATTGTTCAGAACCTAGCAAGCACGACGGATAAGCGCGTCCATGCCCGAAAACGACGGATTATCTCGCATGCGATGAGCGAGGCAGCCATCCGGTCCTATGAACCCACGATCCTAGAAAAGACACGATTGTTCTGCCAAAGGGTCTCTGATCCTACGACCTTCGAGGGTACCTACAAGAATATGTCGCGATGGTTTTCCTTCCTCACCTACGACATCATGGGCGAACTTACGTTTAGCCAGAGCTATGACATGTTAACCAAGAGCGACAACCACTTCATTCAGCCCTTGATCGATTCATATCAGCACAGCCAGGTGATTGTATGTTGCCTCACTCTCTTGTCAGCCAAGCAGTTAAGTTCTGACTTTCAACCAGCTTGGCACAGAGCCCAAGATCGAGCAATGGGGCCTGGCGCCTCTGCTCTTTTTGCGCATCATGGCTGCCAACCAGCGATTCCGCAAATACGTCGATGACCAGGTAAACGGCCGCATCGCGCTGGAGAAGTCAGGAAACGGGCCCTCGGATATTTTTAAACTTTTGCTCGATCATAAGGACAAGGAAACCGGCGAGAGTATGGGATTCAAGGAGCTCTCCGACGAAGCGGTCGTCCTGATCATAGCCGGTCAGTCCCCCATTGTCATTGCTGACAGTCGGACATTATGCAGCTGACATTCCATCCTCCAGCGAGCGATACAACTGGTACCGCTCTTGCCGGACTGTTCTTCTACCTAGCCCGGTATCCCGCATGCTACAAAAAGCTGCAACAGGAGATCCGGTCCCAGTTCTCCGACGTGGAAGACATTGTTGGCGGACCGAAACTCCTTGCCTGTAAGTACATGCGCGCCTGTGTGGATGAGGCCCTGCGTATGTCCCCGGGCGTTCCAGGGTTTCTCACCCGCGAGGCACCCGAGGGCGCTTCCATCGACGGCCACTATTTCGCGCCCCACGTGCAAGTGGGAATCCCTACCTGGACGATGCACCGAGATCCCGACGTCTATCCACAGCCGCAAGTGTTTAAGCCAGAGCGGTGGATGGTTGACTCAGAGGAAGCGCTGCAACGGCTGCGCTCAGCCTACTATCCCTTCAGCACGGGGACTCGCGGATGCATTGGCAAGAACATGGCCTATCATTCTATCTACCTGATCGTTGCTCGGCTGGCGTTTCTGTTCGATATCGAATCACGCGATCCTCTACCTTTGGAGTTCCACGTGAAGGACCATTTTGCCGCTGGCAATAAGCAGGGGCCATATCTKAAATTTACTCCATCCCTGAAGTCTGCCAAAAATTAAACCCTCAATCTTATTTAGTCATATTTTTAGATAGTTGCTGCTCTTCTAATGTCTTTAGTTTGGATTTCCTCAGCAAATACAATTGATAATCTTGAGACTTCTGTATGATAAGTCACAATCATAACTTCGAGTGGCTTGGGCGCCTTTCCCCCAAGGTGCCTACATCGGTCCGGTGGCACCAGATCGGTCCGTTAGACGATATGAAAGGAAACTGTCTTCTAGCATATATGTTGGTATGCCTACCCCTGCCCTATAATCACTCTCACAGCTGTCAACGCATCCACAATAGCAATGGCGTCTCCCAGTCCTAGTCATTCTCTTGAGAAGCAGCCTGATCTACAGTCAGGTCCGCCGGCCGACCCTCATGTCGACCACCCCAATCAACACCATGATAAATCTCCGGGTGTGACTAGGATCGAGGCCATCGCCGGCTGTCTGACTCCAGTGACCCGTACGATCCTGTTCGTGAGCATCTTTATTCTGGGTTATGCGTTCGGCTTAGACGCGGTGCTGCGCGGCGTCTACCAAACCTACGCTACCGCCAGCTACGATGATCACTCGCTGCTTTCCACGGTCAATGTCATCCGCACCGTCTTCGCTGCTGCTGCTCAGCCAACGTCAGGCAAGCTCGCGGATGCCTTTGGTCGGGTCGAGATCCTTGGTCTGTCCATCATCCTGTATCTGGTCGGCACCATTGTCGAGGCGACTTCCACCGGTCTCGCTGCATTTGGCGCCGGCGCGGTCCTCTACACGCTGGGGTTCACCATTGTTCAGACGCTGGTCGACATCCTCATCGCCGATGTAACGTCTACTCGGGTGCGGCTCCTCGCTACCTTCGTTCCCAACCTGCACTTCATCATCACAGCCTGGGTATCTGGCAATATCTCGTCGGCCGTCCTGGGCGCCACCTCGTGGAAATGGGGTGTCGGCATGTGGTGTATTATCTTCACCGTGTGTGTGGCCCCCGTCATCGCCACCCTTGTTTTCCTCTCCCGTCGCGCTGCTCGCAATTCTCCCGCCTCAATGGCCGTCCGGTCTGTTCCCTTAAACCGGCTATTTTGGCAGCTGGATGTCCCCGGTATTGTCCTCTTGGTTGCATCCCTCGCCCTGGTGCTTACTCCGCTTACTATCGCCGGGGGCTACAGTCCCAAATGGCGCTCGGCGCATGTGCTCGCCCCGCTGGTGATAGGAGTATGCTGTATCCCAGCGTTCATTGTCTGGCAGCTCCGAGCGCCGCACCCGCTCATCCCCTTTCGCTTTCTCCGGGATAGAGGCGTGTGGGGCCCGCTGGCGATTGCCACCATGATGAACTTTGCCTACATGATGCAGGGCAACTATCTCTACACCGTGCTGATTGTCGCTTTTGACTTTTCTATTACGGCGGCAACCAGGATCGCCACGCTGTACATGTTCACCTCGTTCGTCGTGGGGCCGATCTGCGGAGCGCTGGTCTACCGCGTCCGGCGGCTGAAATACTTTATCGTCGCCGGTACCGTGCTCTTCATCGTCGGATTTGGTTTGCTCATCCGCTACCGTGGCGGCGCAGAGGGCCCTAACCGGGCCGGGGTTATTGGGGCGCAGGTGGTCTTGGGGATTGCAGGCGGCCTAGCACCATACGCATCGCTTGCCTCGCTTCAAGCGTCGATCGGCCACGAGCAGCTGGGAGTCATGACGGGGCTTTTCCTCGCCTTCCACAGCATCGGGGATGCGCTGGGCAACAGTGTCGCGGGTGCCATCTGGACACAAGTCCTGCCGTCGGCGCTTGCATCCCGGCTGGCCACGCTGCCGGATGGTGCGACCCTCGCTGCATCCGTCTATGGCAACCCGTTCGCTGTCGTCGCACAATATCCCATTGGAACCGCGACCAGGAGCGCAATAATTGCCAGCTACCAACATGTGCAGCGCCTGCTCTGCATCACCGGGATCTGTCTCTGCATCCCACTGATTGGCCTGGCATTTTGCCTGCGCGACCCTCCGTTGAACAACTCCCAGTCTCTCGTTGAGGACAGCCCTGTTACTTCCGAAAAAAGGCGGCCGGAAGCTTGAATTCGGCTGTGCTGTGACTCTCGAAGCTGAATCGCGCTGATCACAAAGTTATGTATTGTATGAAGTAGCTTCATAACATACTCACATGGGCAACCTAGACTTTTTGCGTTAGTTGTCAACTGAATCTTAGCCACCAGGGTCCTCGCGCGTCTCCGCAGGACTGTTTTAGCTGTAACATTGATGGACTCAGAAAGCCTCTCGGAGTCCATTGCTCGGAAGCCGAAGTTGCATATATAACCGTAAAAGGACTGACTATTCCCATAAACCCGATTACTCTACGTATCTGTGGTCCATCCACCGGGAAAAGCCAGCGGCAGTATCCATCCACTCAGCGATACACAACATGGGATTCTTGCATCTCGCCGTTTCTATGACCGCGCAAGGCGTGATCGCCATGGCCGCCATCTGCTTTACCTCCCGGTATTCCCTCTGGCGGGCTGCAGCTGTTCCCTTGGTTGCCTTCACGACCTATCAAGCATGGCTGGCCCTGGACTTTTTCGACAGCAATCAGCTTGTAAACCCTATGACGGCTGCTTTTGTGGTCGGGTTTGGCCTTCATCATCTCAACCTAATGTGTGTGGCTCGCATCGACGCTGAGGAGATCCAACACCAGATCCAGCGCCAGACCGCCACCAAAGGCGCAGAGACCACTGTCCCCCAGTACGACTGTCTTCGCTGGACATTCTACCTGCTCACGACCCTTCGCGGCATTGACACCCCTTATCAAGTCAAAACCGTGCCGCGCGGCAAGAATGAAGATTCAGCGTCTCGGGTCGGCTTCCTCGCCCGCACGTTGCTGATCATTGGTGCCAAGTACCTGGTGCTCGATCTCATGACTTTTTCGCCCCCGTCCAAGGATGACACGATGCGTCTTTTTGGCCCAGGGAGAGAGTATCTTTTCCTTCGGCCAAACGGTCTGCCGCCGGCCACTCTGCAAGAAGTGCTAATCCACCTGGGGGTTGCATTCCTCGGCTGGGGCCCAATTGGCAGCTGGTTCATCGACGTCCACTACCGTGTCCTCGCCGTGCTTTCTGTTGGGCTGGGGATATCCTCGCCCTATCAGTGGCCCGCCCTCTTTGGGTCCATAACCGAGACTTACACCCTGCGAGGGTTTTGGGGGTACGCATTCCCGTTTAACTTTCCTTGCACTCGTCCGTATTCGTCGCTAACTTATCGACCATTGTAGCCGCTTCTGGCATCAGGTCTTTCGCTGGCCAATGCAGAGTATTTCCTCTTACATCTGTCGAGATCTCCTGCAGTTGCCACGTCCTTCCCTAGTCGAACGGTATCTTAACATCACGTGTGTTTTTGCCATCTCTGTGTTTCTGCACCAGACGATCGACGGACGAGCAGGCATCTGGCTCCCTTATAGCGGCGCTCTACGCTGCTTCCTGATCCAACCGCTGGGCATCATGATCGAAGACGCTGTGCAGGAAGCGTTCCGGCGTTTCAGAGGCAACTCCAAATATCACAGTACCATCTGGACAAGGTTGATCGGGTATCTCTGGGTTTGGGGATTTCTCACGCTGGTGGCGCCCCTATACAATTTCCCCCTCTTTCGGTACCAGGATCCAACCAAGAACGGGGTCCCGTTTTCGGTCATCAAGTTCGTTCGCGCCCACTTGGAAGAGTAATCCCTCATGTTACTGGGCCATGGCTCTGGCAGATACCTATCGACTTTGATGTACTGAGATAGTCGTGAGTATAGGCAGTGAGTCATGGATCCACCATTCTAGAGTCGAACACAGGATCTGCTTGGCTAGAATAACCTAGATCCAGTCAAAGCAGCAGGGATCCGTGCTCAACCCTGTCCTGCCAGAACCTGCATTTGAGGGACTGGCGGAATGTATCTAGCTGGAGTAAAAGTTTGCCGTCTTACTCAATGCATGTCATATATACTGTTATGAGTAGTCTGCATAGACTTGCTGGACAATTTGTCCGATATTTAGAAGGCGCAATTCAATCCCATTGTTAGCATCAGGATATCCCCAGAAATGACTGTCGTCTAACCGGGCCGGCACCGGGAAGAGGACAAACCCCGCGTTTCCGGTGGGGCTAGACCCCTCCGCCGACATCGGGCCGTCCTTGATCCGGCGTGTTCTGCAAAGTCACATCATAGCTTCATTTATTCATTCTTTGTGCTGTCATCTCAGATCTGTTACATCACGCATCAAGTTTCATATCTCAAAATGCCATCCTTACAGCAGAGCAAACTCGCTTTCATCGGCGGTGGCAACATGGCCTCGGCCATCATCGGAGGTCTTGTGAGCCAGGACATGAACCCCGCCAACATCACCGTCTCAGAGCCATGGGATGTCAACCGCGAAAAGATTGCCAAGTTGGGCGTGCAGACGACCACCTCCAATAGTGAAGCTGCGGGAGAGGCGGATGTTGTTGTCATTGCTGTGAAACCTCAAACCACCAAGAATGTCTGTCAGGAGCTCGCCACCGCCTGGTCACAGCGCACATCACTGCCTGTGGTCGTCAGCATTGCCGCGGGTATCACTCTCAATAGCTTGAAGGAGTGGCTCAAGACGAGTGATGGTCAGACTGCCCATATCGTCCGCGTCATGCCCAACACTCCGGCCCTGGTCAAGGAAGGCGCATCGGGTCTTCTGGCTAGCGACGATGTGACGGCCGAGGAGAAGGAGCTCATCGGAGCTCTACTCCAGACCGTCAGCAAGGCCACTGAGTGGGTTGACAAGGAGGAACTGCTAGATGTTGTGACCGGTCTGTCGGGTGAGTAACTTGGGAAGTCTCCATTCAGATGACGCATAAACTAACATTGACTAGGATCTGGACCTGCATATTTTTTCGCCATGGTGGAGCACTTGGTTGCCAGTGCCACTGCCCTGGGTCTCTCCAAGGAGCAGGCCACGCGGCTGGCAGCTCAAACCTGCCTGGGCGCGGGCAAGATGCTGGTCGAGTCGGAGGAGGAACCGGCCCAGCTGCGCAAGAACGTGACTAGTCCGAACGGAACAACGCACGCCGCGCTCCAGACATTTGAGTCGCTGAACTTTAAGGATATTGTTGACAAGGCAGTACGGTCCGCCACATCTCGGGCGGCGGAGCTCGGCGAGACACTTGGGAAGCTCTAGACAGGTTTGGCAAGGCAAAATTAATTCGCATCACTAGGAGTAGGATTAAGACATGGAGTCTAAAAATGAATCCTAACGCTTTTGCGGGTCATGCCGGTTCAGGAGTGAGCAGTCAACGCAGAGGCCCATCATTTGGCACTTAGCTTGGTATAAACCAGCCACTTTCATCCAAGGACAGTTAATTCAAGAAAAACCATGTGTATCATCTTAATATGTTTGGGTCAATGCTCTCGCAAATGATAGAGACCTCGTATAGATCTGTGATGCCTTGTATTCCAGGTTGTCAGATCTAGTCTGGTTTTATATATATTCTCGGAATGTAGCCGATGTTCTGTACGCGTATTCGGCTGTTTCCGATGCCAAGATCGACCTTCATGCTTTTTAAACCGACCCCAACGCAGCTTATCTCTATGTCCAAGGACAAATTCATTATTTGAGTAAGACATAATGGCTGCAAATTCAGCTGTCGCGTGTAGACGGCGTTCTTTCACCCGATGCGCCCGCGCCTTGAGCAGTTCCGCTTGTTCCCCCACAGTCGCTGTGTTATTTCAGGCCATCGATCCGCCTGTCATCAACGGCGTGCGTAAACCTCGCAAGCCTGGAGGCAAGTGACTTCTGAATTTGACTCGCATGAGATTTCGCTACTCATATTCCCAGGTTATCAGGACTCTGGAGCGGATATCGCCTACGCCCTGCGACAAAAAGGCGTCAGGGTCCTCACTCCCAATCCATCGCCATCGGATTCCTCACACGAAGGCTGGTCCTTCCCTGACACAGAAGAGGGAATCTATTCTGCCGTTCAACAAGGCGCTACTCATCTCTGGGCAAACACCATCCTCTTTGCGTCACATCCTCTCCAGATGTCAAGCAAATTAACTCCTCTAGCGTCTGATCTCTACGTCGTTGGGCAACCGCCGGGCCTGGTCGAAAACTTTGATGACAAGTCTTTCTTGAACAACAAATTACGTGAATTGGGTGGCTTCAGCTTGCCTCGCGCGTGGATGGTTGGCCCCGATAATGTTCGCCAGATTCTTAACCAGATCGATCGTTATCCGATCGTGGGGAAGCCGGTGCGGGGCCGAGGCAGCCATGGTGTCCGAGTGTGCCAAGATGCTGCTCAGTTAGAACAACATGCCGAAATCTTACTGGCGGAATCACCGCTGATCATGCTCGAGGAGTTTCTGGCAGGTGAGGAGGCGACTATCACCGTCATGCCGCCGACGCCTTCTCGCCCGGACTACTGGTGTATGGTGCCAGTGACGCGCTTCAACCATGAGGATGGTATTGCTCCATATAATGGCGTGGTAGCGGTCACAACCAACTCCCGCGTGGTGTCGGAGGACGAAATGAAAGATCCGGCGTACAACAAGGTGATGCGGCAGTGCGAAGGGGTCGCCAGGCTGATTGGTGCCACTGCGCCGATTCGGGTAGATGTGCGACGGTTCCGAGTGGGATCGGAATTCGCTTTGTTCGACATAAATATGAAGCCAGTGAGTCTTTGCTTTCCACCTTCCTGTGAGAATACTGAATGATTCCGTAGAATATGACCGGTCCAGGGCGGCCAGGGCGGGTGGATCAGGCCAGCTTGACTGCCATGGCAGCAGCAGCTATAGGCTGGGACTATGGCACGCTGTTGCAGCATATCCTGGAGGGCGGCCAACCCTTGGGTCAATTCCGTAACTATAGCAGTCCATTCTAGTATCTCAGTTTTGGTTATACTGTAACGAAGATTACCACTTATAGCCAAATTTCCTTCTCTGTCAGCCATACCCTATATCCAGACACTACTACATAATCCGACACGGTGATACATTAAGATCCTTGAAATCAAGCTGACTAGGTCTCCAAAGGTAGTAAATTTCATTTCTTCGCAAGCCCATTAAGACCTTCAATTGGCAAGAAATTCCACATATACTCGTCCTCCGGAGCCACTTCAAAGTCAAACCGGATGAGATCCTCCTTGTAGGGAAACATGTATGTGCTGGTTACCCTATCTCTTTGTCAGCCTCGCCTGAGCACTGTCGACTACCGTTACTGGATATGCACCTACCAATGATGCTCTTTGCTGGCCTGGTATGCTTTCAAAGCTTCCCGATCCTCGTGGAAGCTTAGCAGGGCAATCTCAAACCCTTTGCTTCGCTCGATCGGATCAGTGATTGACGGCCCGCCAACGACCAGCCGGTGACCCTTGACACAGTCTAGGTCCTTGAGTTTCTTGAGTTCGCGGACAAAGGTGTCTTTATGCTCCTGCGTCACTTCTGGACGGAACTTGAACAGCACTGGATTATATGAGTACGACGTGTTGATTGATCCACAGGAAATTACTAACCTATATGTACGATCGTCATTGTAGCGAGTGTTTGTATGACCCTCGGTTGGGCTAATCCGGACGGAAATGTTGGTTGCGGGAAGAAATGAGAAAAATGGCTACGGTGACTCACTAGATCCATAGTTTATTCTCATCTCGGCCACTTTCCGCATCAACCTTGGTCGGATGGTCCCAATGTACGCCGTACCGCCGTTCCGGATGTAAATATCGGACTCATCCACCCGACTTTGTTTTCCACTAAATTTTCTGTTTTCTTGCCCATGCCCGCAGTTATGATGCTCTCAACTCATACATTTATTTGAGACGATTTAAATAGGAATCGAGACGTCAGAATAGGGACCCTAAGTTACCAGTACAGCACATTGACATGACTACTGCATGGAACTACTGTAGGATGATGTGGGTGGGATATGGATTCGCAGATTAGGTCACCCAGTCTATGAGAAATCTCACTTGCCAATTTCMTATCCGTGTCGTATGCAACTCGCTCCCTAAGTCATGAACCAGGTCAGCTTGGAGGATGTCTTTATGATGGAAGGGCTCGTACCCCTACACTGTTTATATTGGGCTGAAGGCTTGTATCCTGCCCTTACAACGGAAGGATGCGAATTCAGCATGACACTCATTGTTGGTACCACTACATGCAACTAGAGTCATTTGATCGCATTCCATAGTTAATATTATGAGCTCAGTAGAATATGTGGCAATCTCAGATTCTTTGATTGAATTCATTTGCAGCCTTACTCTGCGCTCAGATAGTGGGCGTCTGGATGTTAAGAGGCGACATCCCACGGCATTTGGACACTATTCCTCCACAATGTCCACTTTGTCCTTGTCTGTCCGTTATTGGTAGGATGCACAGAGTTTAGAGTTGGAGAAACTCACAGAATGCAATGTAGTCTTTGATGTTCTTCGCTGCGTCGTACGGCTCCTTGTAGTACCAGGCCGCATTTTCAATGGTTTTACCTGCACAGGATTAGAGCGTTGCAAGGGAAACCTGGAATCTGGAATAATAGCTTACCATCTACAGCCACGTTCCAGTACGAAGCATAGCCCTTCCATGAGCAAAAAGTGGACAAATCCGAGTGCTGGAGGAGGCTCTGATCTTTGATCGCCGACGGTGGGAACTGTGCATCGTAAGCGTGGACCGAGGCAAAATCCTACAACAGTAGATGACAACCAAGGGCAATATACATAGATGTTTCCTTCGACTGTTTCCCAGATCTCTGTCTCGGCGACAACATGGTCGCCGACCTTGGCGAGGGCCCGAGGCATGTTTCTAGGCTGATTGGAATAAGCTGCGTAATAGAATAATGCGTGTACTTCTAGTACAGTAGCCATAAGAGGGAGAATCCTATATGTATATATATATAGAGGCCGGTATGGCTTTACCTCTTGCGCTCTACGGAGAGTTATTCCAGTTCAGTTAGATCCCTGCATATCTGACCCTGCGGGGAAAGAGAGATTGGCAATCGGCATGACCGCGCACGCCACTTGCGGGCTTGATGACACCAGCTAGTGTTAATGGGTTGTCTTCTGTTTTCTAATCCCCCGATATAGCCGCATGTACCGATGCTATTTCTCGATAGGGCAGGCTGTGAACTATCTCAGATGTCTCTGCTTCTAAACCTCCGATGGAGGAGCGCCGATCCCACGCCGTCCCGGATGGAAGTGGCATCAGAACCAAGGCACCGGCGTGTAAGGTCTTAATGATGGGAGCAACTGGAGATGGAAAGGGGGATTAGAAAAAGCAAAATGTATGGATAAGATTTTCCCGCGAGATGCGTTACAGCAGTCATGGCTCAGCTTGTAGAGACTTGACCCCATTTCCACAGAGCACGTCCTCCGTAGGACTGCCACCAAAAAGCACATTTTTGATGACGTGCTGAAAGTACGAGTTAGAGATGTTAGTGTCAGTTTGGGCCGCGGGGTATTTAAGTGATGGTCGCCTGTGGGAAAGGGGGGATGGTGTGTTACCACATACCATCAAGGCTCTTGCACATTGACCCGCTGTATTTGCCGAAGACAACAAGCAGCTTCAGACCACTCGCAAGAGAAGCCATGGAGGAGACCATCAGCACCCAGCAAGTAAGCGCGGCGAAGCCGGTCGATGGTCATAAAGATGAGGGAGACAGCTCTGGTTTCTACGACAACGTTTTCGATACGTCCGCGATTGATCCGGCCCTGACCCGGAAGATGGCTATTGTCAATGGAACCATTGACAAGATCGGAATGACGCCCTTTCAATGGAAACTGTTTTTCCTCAATGGGTTTGGATACGCCGTGGACTCGGTGAGTCGTGACAATATTCCAGATTCCAGAGACACCGAACCACGTTTGGTATTAACGCGAACTGCTTGGCCCAGCTCTTGATCGTCTGCCAGTCCATCGCGCAGCCCGCAGTAGTAAACGAATATGGGAATCCCAGCAAACATGTCGCTGGAATCTCTCTTGGATCTCAGATCGGATTGCTGCTTGGCGCAGCCTTTTGGGGGTTATCGGCCGACATTATTGGACGTCGATTTGCCTTCAACGCCTCTCTGTTTCTCGCTGCCATTTTCGTGGTGATCGCAGGAGGCATGCCAGGATACATCCCCTTTGCAACATTGTGAGTGCAACCCTATTGTCGGCATCTCATCTCTATCAGGCTCTGACCAGCTATCCTTGCTAGAGTTGCCCTATACTCCACAGCTGTGGGGGGGAATTACATTCTCGACTCTACTAGCCTGCTTGAATTTCTCCCCAGTGAGAATTCCTGGCTAGTTACATTCATGTCCATCTGGTGGGCTGTGGGCTACACCATCGCAGGGCTCCTGGCCTGGGCTTTCATGAGCAATTACAGTTGCCCGTCTAATACAACACCCGCTACGTGCTCTCAAAGTGAGAATATGGGCTGGCGGTATCTGCACTTTACCTGTGGAGGGCTGGTTCTGATCTTGAGCATCCTCCGTCTTTGTATAGTCCGGATGGTGCAAACTCCCAAGTGGCTGATCGCCCAGAACCGCGATGAGGAGGTGGTCCAGTTCCTGGCTGCCCTCGCCGAGAAGTATAATCGGCCATTCGACCTCACGCTGGAGGATCTGCGTAAGGAGGGTCATGTCATCCATACAGAAAAATCCGCCTGGTCCTCTCTTCGCATCTCACAGCATTTTCTCGGTCTTTTTCGCACCCGCCAGCTAGCTTGGTCGTATACGGTAATCATCCTGAATTGGCTCGTCATTGGCATGGTCAGTCCTCTCTACCATGTGTTTCTGCCTTACTATCTTCAGTCCCAGGGTCGGAAGGTTGGCGGCGGTTCCACCTATATTACGTGGAGAAACTACGCTATCAATCAAGTTTCGGGGCTGGCGGGACCCATCTTTGCTGCCATTCTAGTGGAAAGCAAGTTTCTCGGACGTAGGGGCACTATGGCACTGGGCGCCCTACTGACCATGGTGCTGCAGTTCGGATACACCCAGATCCGAACTCCTGCGCAGAATGTGGGCGTCTCCGCTGCAATCTCAGCGGCCTCGTACGTTTCCTCTCCGAACACTTCCAAAGTACCTTGTGCTGACAGGTTCCGGGTGTAGAAACATGTACTACGGCACGATCTACGCCTACACGCCTGAAATCCTCCCTTCCGCTCATCGAGCCACAGGGTACGCCCTCTGCCTCGTCTTGAACCGAGTGGGAGGCATTATGGGCGTGCTCGTGGGCAGCTATGCCAACGTTGAAACGACCGCTCCGCTCTTTATCTGTGCTGCACTGTATGCGTTGCTGATTGTCTTGAGTCTCCTGCTCCCATTCGAGAGTCGTGGAAAGAGGATCCAGTAGGGAGCGAATCAAGCTCCAGGGTCTGCTCCTGAGGATAGGACACGTTGTGCATCGCGCAAGATACGGCCAAATGGGGAATGACGTGCCGCCGAATGTAGAAAGGCATTGGTCCGGAGTTCGTATTGACCGATAACTGCTGCCAAGTTCAGCCAGTGTAACCCTGAGCTCGGAGGAATACGTTCTTATACACATTTCCATATATCCACGCGATAGGTCTAGACTCTCGAGATGGTGATCTCCTTGCAAGACTTCTCCGGTCGCTAGGCGAAGCCACAAGGCAGATCGCCATATCACTAGCACGTCTCGAACTGAAAAGTGCCCGGTGGTCGGCGGTTTATCAAGCACTTGATTGGAAGCTTCCAATTTACCTTCGTCTCTCTTAGTCCTTTCTCATAGTCAATATAAAGTTTCTGGTGGGGCGCCATGTCTCAGTGATGTGGGATACATAGGCATCCTGTGAGATAAAGCTATGATGCTTTAACGTGGGAGATCACCGACTTCTCCAACTCCGTCGTACATTGGACCCCGCGTGTTGCTAAATAAATATAGCACCTGTGGCACAGCGCCAAGATGCGTATTATCATTTCCTGAGCTCAGTGACCATTAGCCTAAATTAATAAAGGAAGTATCCCCGGCGTTTAAGTCACTAAGACCCGGTCTTATCTCGGGTATCCAGACGGGGGAGTGAGACGGCTGATCCGAAAACGCACGATAAGCGTCTCGTACCTCTTCACCTACTCGGTTGGCTAGTGAGGACAAGCGAGCAACTTTGCTCCTGGCCAACACGTGGTAAGATTGGTGCGCGACCCCTGTCTTCGTGCGTCTGTAACCATGTGCAATACGAGGGCCTCGGGCCCCCGTATTGGAGCATTTCACGTCTTGCAATTTATACTCGTATTGACTAGTTATCGTCCGGAAATGGCGTGAGAGCAGTCGTCATTATTAGATTTCTGACTGTATCCCTGTGCAATCATCGCTGCCCGGAGTTGTGACGGTGGCGCTTGGTGAAGATTTTGAGGAGACTTTACCTTCTTGTTATCCTAATCGAAGACGACAGCAATCTGTCCCTATAAAGGAGGGGCTGCAATGCTCCATACATTATCACCTTGAATACGTCTGGACCTCGACCCTCGTATCAAGGGCCCTTGCTCCGCAATTAAGCATCGGGGATCGCCCCACGGGAACAAGCGTTAACAACAGCTTCCAAACTCTGTTGGAGGACCTTCAATCCCGTCCGCCTCTTTTGCACCAATGGGAACTGGGAGTGGCTTGCTTGGGCGATCACGACAGTTTCCGCACCGTATTGCAGAGACAAAACTCACGGTCTAAGTGGTGTGCATAAAAGCATGGGCAACTGGATCCAGAAGAGGTTTCCATACGAGCTTTCATCCTTTTTTAAGACGCTCCGCATTCTCTTGCTCGAATAAATGCCTAGCATGGGGACACAGAAACGGGCCCTGCGGGCCTCGTGCGATAAGTGCCACCAAGCAAAGGTAAAATGCGTCCCCACCGCCGTAGGGTGTCAGCGCTGCCTGGACTTAAATAGTCCGTGTGTCCACAGCCCCCCAGGACGATCGGGTCGAGCCCCTGTAGCGAGCAGAGAGTCGGGGGTACGTGCTGCACGCATCCTGACCCCTCCCCAAAGCAACCGTTCACGAGCCCCCAGCGAACACAACGCGTCCACAACGAGTGCCAATACCAGGGGCTCCGACGATGACAACGATCGGAATTCCCAGGTTCCGTCGTCAGCGGTGGACTTTTCTAACGACTCCGTGCTGATCATGGATGACGAAGCTGGCCAGATGGAGCCCATGGATGCGATGCTGTCAGGCTGGTTTTCCATGCCAGGAGCCGCCATCAGTCCCCTGTACAGCGGGGATCAGACCGCTGCACTTCCCGAATTCGCCACACGCCTTCCATCAGCGTTTGAAATGACCAGCCCGAATCCCACGGCCATTTCTGATTTTGCGACGGGCGAGCCTGTGACACAATCTACAGTGACAGCGCACCCCCTGGTATCCTCCCATCCCAAAGACCTCGTCAGTACCAAGGGCCACGGTTCGACGTGTGCTTGTTTCCAAAGCATCGTTCGGGCACTTGAAAAGATCCAACAGGCCAACATGCGCCTGTTCAGTCTGGATGTTGCCCTGAGCCAGAATAAGGAGGCACTGATCCATATCTGCAATGCCCTGGGATGCATCTCCCCTCATGACAGTACCACTCGCCTCCTGATATTGGTTCTTCTCCGCAAGACTCTCCTTCTATACCACCATCTTTATCAATCGAGATTGTGCGATCGAAGAGACATGAACCGTAAAGGCCCCAGTCCCATTACCTCGCCGCCCCCGTGGCCGTCCTTTGACACGAACAAAACGTCAGCGAATCAGCAGCATAACCCCCTCTTTCCCTCCGAACACAACCAAGTTCCGTCTGGCCCAGGAGCGACAACGGCCAGGCTTACC